TTCTTCAGCAACACCTTCTCCCAGTCATTGACGTCCGACGGGAGTTATTCCAGCAAGACAACGCCAGGCCACATACAGCACGTGTCACCATGGAGTATCTGGCAAATAACAACATTCCTGTGCTCTCCTGGCCATCTCGTTCCCCGGATCTCAACCCCATAGAACATCTTTGGGATGAACTTGATCGGCGTCTACGTCAGCGTGTACGTCAACCTCAAACTCTTCAGGAGTTAGCTACATTTCTTCAGCAGGAGTGGAGGAGAATTCCTCAACCAGTTATACAGCGTCTGATCCAGTCCATGACGAGGCGGGTCCGAACTGTTATTGGTACACGTGGTGGACATAAAAGGTACTGACACTTCAGTGGACGCTGAACAAATTCATGACTGTTTAGCCTGTGGTGATCAATATTTTGGTATACACACGTGGTTCTGCCATGTGCACGTCAAATTTCATGCTTCTGAGTATGTTTGTTGAATAGTTATACACGTTTGAATTAAACCTTTGTCTCTTCAGATTTCTGCCTTATGCGTTTCTTTTTTGGAATAGTATATCTTAATTTTCCTATAAATAGCTCCACGAGTGTGGTAAACAAGAGGACGCTGGTCAAGAGGGCGCGTTGTCCGATTGGACAATTCCCACAGCCGAATCAGTCAGAAGAGAGACCGAGACCTATGTTATCGGGTGTACCATGAACAAGGACATTATCAGCAGTGAGTTGAAAGTTTTAATAAGTTCTTTAGTGCTACACTTATGGTTCTTATTATTTTAAATATATGTAGTGAAAGCTGTAACTAAAATAACACGATATTGGAATATATTATTCTGATAAAGTAATACTTTCAGATACAATTTCTTTCGACTATTGCATGAAAATATTTTGAAGTTGTATCATTGGGTACTTTTTAACTGACTCACCGGTAGATGCGGGGGGAAACCTGTATAAGCGTGTATGTGTGGTGTGGTTTGTTTTAGCCAAGATGACGGACGTTTCCGAGCGAAAACGTATATAACGAACAATGTTTCAAGTTGCCCGACATCCTGATATTTCCTGTATGAGTGTATCTATTTAGGTAAAGTTAATATTGATGTGATGTTCGCGTGAATATTGCGTTGAACGATAATAATAGTGATGCATGGAGATTGCGACGATAAGTACACGACAAGTTATAATATGCTGCTTACTGATTTCTGATATTTTGGTCGTATCAATTTATACTTTGTAGCTTTAAGAAAGTGTGTATAAATATTTCGCTAAGATACTTTAAAAAATAGTCATGTATTTCTTGTCATTCAAGTTCGCAATTTCATCAATAAATATACAATAATTGTGATAAACTTTAGGTACTGTGCAACTCGAACTGTAATGAATCGAAAATACTTTGTTGTCAATGTTAATCAGTGTATCGCTAATATAAAGCGGTGCAGCTTAGAATCACCCTATTTCTCAATCGCCATTACAGGTAGCGAGAACCAATGGCAAGATCTGGCTTCCACCATTACCGGTAGCGAGAACTAGAATCTGATTTAATGAGATTGCGCATTTCTTACAAGCGAAATTGTTTCCGATCAGCGCCACGCCGCTTTTAACTCTGACATCACTGCATTGGAAACTTGTTGCGTGACTTCGCGTCACTGTATGTTTTAGCGGTATCAAAGACAACGAAGTTTAGTGAAGCAACACCTGTATTTATCATATAATGGATAGTGTAGCGCATGCGCCAAACAAATCCTATAAATATGCAAATGAGGTCAATCATAATCAGATTACCGTTATAGACGGTACTTGTCAGAGACTGGATATACATATCATGAATACCATACTTTGACTCGTAAAAATTCCTATTTGTTATTGCTTGACTAGTATATGTCAATAAAGTGTGTTCATTTCTTTCGCGGGGCGGTCGGGTAGCCTAGTGGTTAAAGCGTTCGCTCGTCACGCCGAAGACCCGGGTTCGATTCCCGACATGGGTACAATGTGTGAGGCCCATTTCTGGTGTCCCCCGCCGTAATATTGCTGGAATATTGCTAAAAGCGGCGTAAAACTATACTCACTCACTCACTCACTAATTTCTTTCGCGTTCGAAAGGGCAAGGCCAGTGAAGCCTAAAACGGCGACTCGTCAAACTGTCTACACGTAAAATATAACCGGCAATATACCAAAGTATGAAGCTTATGGGTTTTTAAAAAATTAAATATGTATGTTAAAAGTAGCAAGTAAAACGAAAATTATATTAGAATATAATATTATATTATTGTCGGTATAATACTAGTTTCGAATACAATTTCTTACGATCATTTTATTAAAATACGTTTCAGTTATAATATTGAGAATTTTATAACAGAATCACTGAATCACAGGGAAGTCTGGGAGAGAATGACTGCAATTTCCGCAATGGTTTACGATCCACAAGATAATATTAATCTCCGCACATAAAAAATGCCTAGCATAACAGGAAATGAAACTTAACTCATCATGTCTAGTGATGGTTTATCGCAAAAGTCACAGGTTTGTTATCTCCTGTATTGAGACCTGCATCACTTCGGGCTTTCCTCCAACATTAAGCATGATATAACTGGAATTATGTACAAAGCGGCATTAAAACCCAACTCACTCACTCATTCATTATCAACTGTAGTTACTACGATGTGTTTTTGACAGCGCGCAATCCGCGAACGAGCAAATGTGTGTGTGTGTGTGTGCGTGCGTGCGTGCGTGCGTGCGTGCGTGCCTGTGTTCGTATTTTGGAAAGGGGGGGGGGTAACGTTTTCAAAGTTCTATTTGCTACATGTTACGAATATTTAATCATAATTGACTGTGTCGTCTAGCTTAGGTTGTCAACGAACTACTCAAGCTGATTGTGTTACTGTCTGGCGATCTTTTGTCGGGCTAGCTGGGCATTGATTTTACACACCTTAGCTGTCTCCAAAAATATTATTTTGTGAAAACGATGAAACTAGATCAAGACGTTAACAACGACTGAATTACGTGTAAAATAAGAATGTCGAATTAATTCATAAATGTGAAAAAACAAACATTGCCGAGCAGTTTGATGCGGTGATCCGTTTGGATACGATACTGCTTGAATGACAGAGTGGAGATATTATCTCGTTACCCTGTATCGCCATTGCATCATGTGCCTATGACCCGCAATAAATACTGAATGAATATTGCTAATACGTTCATTTGACTCGAGTATGTTTGTTTAATGTAACTTTTTATGTGTATGTTTCAGGGATTAGACGGGGGTCGGATGGTCCGTTCATCTGGGGCGACCTCACTCACGGTGCTGTTTTGCGTTCCTTCGACGTGTTAAAATCGTGGGTTCAAATCCCTGATTCTCACTGATCATGTTTGTCTGTCAACACCATACCCGTGCTCGTGGGTTTCACTGAAGTGGCCAATGTCTAAGACCCGTGAATATCCGGGGTAGAATAGGTCTTCAGCAACTCATTCTTGCCGTAAAGGGTGACTATGCTTGTCGTAAGAGGGGACTAACGGGATCGGGTGGTCAGGCTCGCTGACTTGGTTGATGCATGTCATTGATCCCAATTGCGTGGATCGATGCTCATGATATCAATCACTGGGTTGTCTGGTCCAGACTCGATTATTTACAGACCGCCGTCATATAGCTGGAATATTGCTGGGTGCAGCGTTAAACAAACAAACAAGACCTGCATCACTTCGTTCTCGGGATTTCCTCTCACAGGCTCACACACTGTGTCAAAAGCGGCGCTGAACCAAACTCACTCACTCACTCTTTCATTCCAAGGATGTTTAAGTAAAACATGGACGCAGCGGCATAGACACTGTGATATATATATACGATATTCGCGTGCTTTGTTTTCGTCCTGCTTTGTTTTCGAGCCCCTAAGAAGTATTCCCGTTAACGTGGCTTATACAAGTCCCAATCCACTAAGACCGCCTCCGTGGTAGAGCGTCCGCCCGGAGAGCGGAAGGTCCAGGGTTCGATCCCGGGCCGCGTCATACAAAAAGACGTTAAAAGATTGTACTTGTTGTTACCCTGTCTGGCGCTCGGCATTAAGGGGCTAAAACAAGGACTGGTCGGCTCCGAGTCAGTATACTGTGTCTGAGTGGGGTATTCATGTTAAACTGCGGCATGGTATCTCAGTGAGCTAGCACTATAAATCGGCATCAGTCCGGACTAGTACAAGCAGCCACACACACACACACATACACGTGCATGCACGTCGCTATATAAGTGCAATAATCTTGGACGCGACGTTAAACCCAATTTCACCTCACCTCACCCAATCCACTAAAATTAAGTCTTACCTTTGAGAACATTTAATTCTGTTAACACTTGGACGGTCAAATGACTATGTCTTGTTAAATTTATAGTGGTAATGCCTCACCGAGCGAGACGAGTCGATCAGGCGCCATCTTGTTAGTGTCACATGATTTAGAGCCCCTCCATTGCAGTCAAGTTAAAACCAGATGCGGAACATGATCAGTCACATGACCTTACTCGCAGGCACTTTACAAACAGCAGCCGATACGTTACCCGTGCATACGATTGTTCTGATGCAGAATTATCATCAGATCGAGTTTAATTAAAATGTGCTTTAGTGAAAAAAATATGTTTTGAAGTATATTATCATTACTTATTGAATATCTCACCTCGTCTACCTTAATTCGAAGCAAAACTTCAGCGACAAGTGGCGAACGCATTGATGTCTTCAATGGGCTTTGAAGCGTCTACCTTGATTATAGGCGTGGTTACGTATTGTTTAGGGGCCCGAAAACATGTGACGCGGGGATATATATATATGGGTTTGGGCGTGGAAGGGTGGGGATATTGATGGTTGTCTGTTGTACCTACATACCTCGTATGTCCATGTACAGTTATTATGTACTTATATTTTGGCCTTTGGCCTATATGAGAAATGAATAAAAAGTCATGATGTACACGAACGTGCGGTGAATGCAAATGTATGTTTGTGTACCTGTTATTAAAACAATAATACATGTAACTCACCTGGCTCAATATAAAGTTGAATATCTCTGGCACTGACAGAACCACTCCCCAGTATGGTCTTCTCTCGGGGGTGGTGACGTGGTTTGGCCGGGGTGGTGGCGTAATGTCCACTCAAAGACGAAGCAGGACTGTCACCCACGGTATGCCCAGCTCGGCGGTCAGAGACATGGATAGGGGAAGGTTGACCACCACATCTACTACCCCCAGACCGGCTGTACAGGTAGGTGTGAGACCTACCCCCGGGCCGAGAGCTGACCCCCAGGCTATGTCTCCCCCGTGGGTCGGGCTGAGGCGTGGGTTAGGGGAGAGCACGCATTCCCTTCGTCTCAACTTCCAACTCAGCTCTGTTACAATCCAGCGCGTCGTGACAAAGAACTACGCAAGTGAATAATTACAGGGGATTGGGAGTGGTACGGCGGGGGGGGGCTGTAGTGAAGGGGGCGAGGTATAAATATACTCTAGCTATATCCTATATCTATATCCCACCCGAGATCCTCATTCAGAGATAGGCTGAAAACAAACGCGCCACACATCAAGCGTTAATCTGGGTCACCGGTACCTTATTGGAAATGTCCTATCAGAAATATGCTGAGGCTAAACCATAAGATATACTCGACGCTTTTCGTGAATCTGTACCTTCGAAGTTTCTTACATCCGATTCCTAAAGATATATAATTGCAACGTCCAGCCTATACTTTCATGACATTCTTTGAAACTGCTTGTATAAGTCAAAAATCCTTACCAATGTACAAAATAAATTGATTCGATTAAATTATTTTTTTAAATGTATGCTTATTTCAGTTATTTATGTTTCAGCCTAAACAATGAGCTACAGTCGTCTACAAGACTTTGTTTATTGTCTGTTCAAAGTTCATTGTTGTTTCAAAACGATTATAATATATAACAACCTGGAGGTGGGTGACAATGGACAATGAGATGGTATTGTAAGTATCAATCAGTCACGCTATATGCAACCGAGGGGTCGTCTCAAAGTTTTAATATGTGATTGTATAGTGTACACGTGTGCGAAAGACTGACAAGAGCATCAGTGACTGAAACAATGTGAGCAAAAGTGTGAATTTTGAAGTTCTCGAAATGGATTGTGTTCCAAAATTGAAAAAAAAAAAAAGTAAGGTGTTAGTCATTTCGACACAAATAAATGAATCGTGTGTGCCCGTTACTATAATCCACGAACCATGTAACCTAAACAAAATTTAAGACAGAAACAAATTTCCTCGGTTTATATTCTGCAAATTTAAAATGATCGATTTTATGGATATATTGCCCTCCATCATTTTATTATACAAATTCAGTGAGCCACGTTCGTCAGTAGAGTACCAATGTCATTAAAACCAAATCCTGTATGACATATCTGCGTTTAGATCTTAGGACACATTCACGAAAGGTCGCGCCAGGTGAATGTTGAGCGAATTTTGAGCCCAATCTAAAAGAAGGCTCGTGGTTTCTTGAACCAATCAGCTGTCAGCTTTGTAAAACGATTCGGTTTCATTTTGTGTAATTATGGTATTTACAAACATGTTAACACACATGCAACACATTTATCCTTCGATGGTACTCCCTATATTGGGAGTCGATGCCACAGCGCTCAGAAACGACAGCAATTATTAAATAGCCACAACAATATGATGGCGTCGCTATAACTTCTTCATCGTTCCGCGCAATTGGATACGAAGCCATGCATCAACCAAGTCAGCGAGTCTGACCACCCGATCCCGTTAGTCGCCTCTTACGACAAGCATAGTCGCCTTTTACGGCAAGTCTCGTATCCGTTTCACATGAAACTTGTTTACAATTAATCGGCTACGAGGAAACCCAATAAAAAGACTGGAACATTTTGAGAAGGCCCCGGCTCGACAATGACAGCAACGGGCGAGTGCTTCCTTTGCACATAATTCTCCTGCAACCCAATACTTCAAAGACGGCCGTCGGTGGTATCAGTGTCCTTGTCAACAGGTTGTAACAACATGACAACACTCATCTACAGCTGTCATTGACACTGTGTTGAGGTCAACGCGGGACGAGATATCGATAGAACGGCCCGCTTTTAGAGCCAGTGGATTTTGTTCTAATTTGAACGTGTTGTGTATCTTGCAAACTGACTTAGGCGGGTATTACCATCGGAAGAATACACACTAAATCAGATCAGTGCATTAATCTCCTCAGCACATAGGCACTGTACTACAATGTCGTACAATGTCGTTCAGTGGTATTCGGGATAGGGCGTTGGATGCAATGAATGTGTGTTGTTGCTGTTTTTTTGTTTAACGCCGCACTCAGCAATATTCCAACTACATGACTGTGGTCTGTAAATAAAAGAGTCTGGACCAAACAATTAAGTGACTGACATCATGAACATCGGTCCATGCAATAGGGATGCTATGACATGCATCAACCAAGTCAGCGAGCCTGACCTCCCGATCCCGTTCAAGGCCGAAGTTAACTTTTTTTGACAGGCGGCTGGCTACGGCAGTGCCGTTAGTCGCCTCTTACGGCAAGCATGGGTTGCAGAAGACCTATTCTACCCCGGATATTCACGGGTCGATGCCATAAGATTTTTATCTAGTACGCGGATGCCAATATTTGAAAGTTGAAATGTATTTATATATTATTTTTTCTTGCAAACAGATCATTAAAATAAATAATACAAATTCGGCTCTAAGCTTTTGAGAACGCACGGTCATGCATTTTACGTAAAAATCCAAGTCTATTATACTTGTACCAACTGTGAAGACTGACTTCTTAAATTCTTTAATTCAATTAATTCAATTCTTCATGTCAAGACAATGTGCCGGATGCCAAAAGATAAGGCTCCAGGTCTGAAAGTCCAGGTGATTTTGAACGTACTTGTATATTTCTGTAATGTAATGGTATTACTTTTTGTTTATGCCAGAAACTAGGCTTCACACATTGTACCCATGTGGGGAATCGAACCCGGGTCTTCGGTGTGACGAGCAAACGCTTTAACCACCAGGCTACCCGACCTCCCCTCATTTATCGTCTATCAGCATTACCAACCTCCCATTATTGTAGGATGCGCAGGTAAAATCATTACGTTAAATGTCATATACTGAATTAATATGTTTAAAAATCTGTGGTCGTGAATACAAAATAACTGGAATTAATATTTAGTTTTGTGGACAATATATCTGTATATATTGATCAAACTTCGAACTATGTATGCAACTAATCACGTGACAAAGTCTAGGATGGATTGATGCCGTATTTTTGCATATTTGGTTAAAAAAAACACATCATAAAGAAAACAGAAAAAAACAACATTACTTGGCAGACATTTATTTCTAAATATATCGACCTTTGGCCGAGTGCAACACCAGTGCAATGCATTCACCACAGGGAGGGTTTAGAGTTGTGAGTGAGTATGGTTTTATGCCGCTTTTAGCAACATTCCAGTATATACCATATCAAGACAGGTGTCACCAGAAATGGGCTTCACACATTGTACCCATGTTGGTCACTGGTGTTATTGTGTAGTGCTGTGAGTCACTGGTGTCATTGTTTAGTGCTGTGAGTCACTGGTGTCATTGTGTCGTGTTGTGAGTCACTGGTGTCATTGTGTAGTGCTGTGAGTCACTGGTGTCATTGTGTAGTGCTGAGTCACTGGTGTTATTGTGTAGTGCTGTGGGTCACTGGTGTCATTGTGTAGTGCTGAGTCACTGGTGTCGTTGTGTAGTGCTGTGAGTCACTGGTGTCGTTGTGTAGTGCTGTGAGTCACTGGTGTCGTGTAGTGTTGTGAGTCACTGGTGTCATTGTGTCGTGTTGTGAGTCACTGGTGTTATTGTGTAGTGCTGTGAGTCACTGGTGTCATTGTTTAGTGCTGTGAGTCACTGGTGTCATTGTGTCGTGTTGTGAGTCACTGGTGTCATTGTGTAGTGCTGTGAGTCACTGGTGTCATTGTGTAGTGCTGAGTCACTGGTGTTATTGTGTAGTGCTGTGGGTCACTGGTGTCATTGTGTAGTGCTGAGTCACTGGTGTCGTTGTGTAGTGCTGTGAGTCACTGGTGTCGTTGTGTAGTGCTGTGAGTCACTGGTGTCGTGTAGTGTTGTGAGTCACTGGTGTCATTGTGTAGTGCTGTGAGTCACTGGTGTCATTGTGTAGTGTTGTGATTCACTGGTGTCATTGTTTAGTGCTGTGATTCACTGGTGTCATTGTGTAGTGCTGTGAGTCACTGGTGTCATTGTGTAGTGTTGTGATTCACTGGTGTCATTGTTTAGTGCTGTGAGTCACTGGTGTCGTTGTGTAGTGCTGTGAGTCACTGGTGTCATTGTGTAGTGCTATGAGTCACTGGTGTCATTGTGTAGTGTTGTGATTCACTGGTGTCATTGTTTAGTGATGTGATTCACTAGTGTCATTGTGTAGTGCTGTGAGTCACTGGTGTCATTGTGTAGTGGTGTGTGTCATGGGTGTCATTATGTACTGGTGTGAGTCACTTGTGTCATTGTGTAGTGCTGTGATTCACTAGTGTTATTGTGTAGTGCTATGAGTCACTTGTGTCATTGTGTAGTGCTGTGAGTCACGGGTGTCATTGTGTAATGCTGCGAGTCACTAGTGTCATTGTGTAGTGCTGAGTCACTGGTGTCATTGTGTAGTGCTGAGTCACTGGTGTCATTGTGTAGTGCTGCGAGTCACTGGTGTCGTTGTGTAGTGCTGTGAGTCACTGGTGTCATTGTGCAGTGATGTGAGTTACTGTTGTCATTTTGCAGTGCTGTGAGTCACTAGTGTCATTGTGTAGTGCTGCGAGTCACTGGTGTCGTTGTGTAGTGCTGTGAGTCACTGGTGTCATTGTGCAGTGATGTGAGTCACTGTTGTCATTTTGCAGTGCTGTGAGTCACTGGTGTCATTGTGTAGTGCTGTGAGTCACTGGTGTCATTGTTTAGTGCTGTGATTCACTAGTGTCATTGTGTAGTGCTGTGAGAGTGCTAAATGACATCAAATTTGGGTTCATCTGTATTCTCATAAATGGTGCAAATAATCGACCATTAATGGTAACATATACATGTTTAACATTTGAATATAATTCTGTGATATCAAATCTTAAATGGACAAAAGTTAGAATTTACAAAAGAGAGGCCGTATGGGTAGCCCCAGTATAGTATATAGAGTGGTGTATACAGCGTAATATATTTAGTGTAGTATATATCGTGTATATATATTGGAAGGTGCTGCAGTAAGCTGGATACAGAGTCGTGCCGCTAATACTTGCGTCATTCGTCCCGGGTAAGACTCTTGGCTGACCCCAGCTTTTCGTTTAGGTTTTCACCAAATATGTAAACTTCTACAGCTGTAAAACTGGATACTGGTTACCGTTTAAAGCGGCCTCAAATCAATCTCACTCTAAGACTCACCCAAGACTCAATAACACAAAATAACGTTAATACACTTTATTCAATGTTTATACATGTTCTTGTCAAATAGGACAACATATTTACTTGTATATTAAACAAATATGTATACGTGAATGAGAGAAAGCACTCGTGTATAAGTAATATCATAAGCAATAAGGCCAGGGTGAATTAATTATTGGATTATCATGTTGGGATTAAGCAAAGCTTGAAATGAGGGCTCGATGGTCTATAGCAGTAATAGGGCGGTCGGGTAGCCTAGTGGTTAAAGCGTCCGCTCGTCGCGCTGAAGGCCCGGGTTCGATTCCCCACATGGGTACAATGTATGAAACCCATTTCTGGTGTCCCCGCCGTGATATTGCTGGAATATTGCTAAAAGCGGCGTAAAACGATACTCACTCACTCACTGACTACAGCAGCAGTACCACAACAACTTTCCATTCGTTTCCTTGCTACGTCTTAAAGCGAGAATAGACAAGGTAATAGTCCGCCTCAGTGGTCTAGTGGATAGAGCAATAAAACCGGCATTAGTCCGGACAAGTACACACACACACACACACACACACACACACACACACACACACTCGCTTGAACGTCGCTGTACAAGTGCAGTAATCTTGAACGTAACGTTGAACTCCATTCAGCTCACCTCAATCATACTGCGACAGATTTAACACGATTTTCAAATAGATACAAATTTCTTACGAGTATTGCAACATCTGAGAGGCACCTATAACGCCTTCAATTTAGACTCCTTGCACTGTGGGGCAGCCTCGTGGTTAAAGGGTTCGCTCGTCACGCTGAAGGCCCGGGTTCGATTCCCGACATGGGTACTATGTGTGAAGCCCATTTCTGGTGTCCCCCGCCGTGAATATTGCTAAAAGCGGCGTAAAACCAAACTCACTCTCTCACTCCTAGCAGTAGAGGGCATGAAGGTTGGGCCTTGACGCCAGCCTAGTGATTTCAGCAGCTGGTTTGACAAGTTGTAAAGAAGCAAGGACGGTATATTCGATTATTGCCTGTTGAAAATAATAGAGATGAAAAAGTAAATGATTAACATTATTTTGTTGGATGATTATGTTTATGTCCAGCGACAGTTTATTGATATCGATGTCCATGGACAGCGGCCATCCACCGATAAATCGGTTAATCGTTACATCTCTGATTGAGACAGTCATACATGGAATTCAATCTAGACAGCTGCAGCGCCACCTTACGAATTAACAAAGTCCATCTTACTGTGGGCACAGATAGAATGTCGTCACAGATACAACTGTTTCGTCAACAAGGATAAGAAACAAGAGCACTGTTTCTTGGAATCAAATTCCTGCTGTCTGGCATTCGACTTGAAATTAACCGCCAACCGTCTGTTTACCAGCGTCAGGAGTTTGCAGATCTCAAGTTGTCCGCCATATTCCTCCATGACGTCACACAAGGTATGGATGAAACAGGACCCGCTCTTTACATTCCGGTAGCTGAAGTAACCTGATGGGAATACACGTTAGAAAACATTGGAACATTTGTTCACAAAAATGTTCAATAATAATGTTTTCTTCACATCTTTCCTCCTCGTTTTCATTTTTTACAGAAAACTTATGTTCAGAATCTAATTGTCAGTGATGACCTGGAATTATTCGAGTTAACTCAAACACACGTTTCCATAGTCAGTGCTTCAAATGCAGGTTTTCTATATACTATATTCCTCCCTCACCGATACTGATCGCCGTTATACTATAACATAGCTACGATTCACTCCTTCATAACGTTCCAATAGAGTTCGATGCTGATTTTAGTCGTCAAAGGGAGTTGCGTCCCTTGTGCACGCAAGAAACCTTTCATTGTGGGTTCTTCAACCGGTAAGTCAAAATTATGTGTCTAGGTTTGTCAGCAACATACCCGTGCTAGTGGGTTTCGCCAAATTGGTAAACGTCTGAGACCTGCATAACTTCGGGTTTTCCTGCTACATTAAGCAGACACGCCGTGAAATCATGGATTACTGTTCAATCAGAGAACGTTGCGCCAGGGTCGAGCCAAGAAAAGTGGCCTTAATGTGGCAAGGGTAGAAAAGGCTTTGATATAGGGTTGTGGACACGCCTGCCTCGGGAAGATGACCAGTTGGATGTGTGGTATGCGTTCGCGGTGACGTGTGACCTATTTTCATAACTAAAAGGACGAGTACTCTTATTTGTTGTGAACATATCACATATGAAATAGGTATGGTATTTTGACACCTACAGCTATATAAGATAAGTATAGGCCGTGTTGGGTAGACGTCAAAAGACGGAACAACTGACTACAGTAGGGGGCTATCTCACCATGCACTGTAGAGTGTATGTACAGGAAGTCCACCTCGTAGGGCAGGTTCTGGAAAAGACCTTCATCACTCTCGTTGTCGTCATCTTCATCATCCTCACGGTCATAGAAGACTGCAGCATCAGCGACATCCTGTCCCTCGTCCACCTGATCGCCCTGACAGGCCTGCAACAACCAGGGTATTACAAAAGAATTATAACCAAAAATTGAACGTATTTACATCGCACACAGGCAAACACCTCTCGTGGCCCGCTTTGACAAGGCACTATATTATTTTTTGCTTGAGTCGATCAGACATATTGTACAGGGACCTTCACAATAAAACTGGTGAATGGTGAATTACCTCCCTTGGTATGTGATGGTCTGTCCCTTGAGGTGAACTGAAATTGATTATTGCACTTATATAGCGACGTGTGTGTGTGTGTGTGTGTGTGTGTGTGTGTGTGTGTGTGTGTGTGTGTGTGTGTGTGTGACTGCTTGTGCTAATGTCGGTTTGATAATGCTATCCCACTGAGATACCATGCCGCAGTTCAACATGGATACCTCACTCACACACAGTATGCCGAGCCGACCAGTCTTGTTTTATCCCCTTAATGACGAGCGCTAGGCGGGGTAACAACACGGAGGCGAGCCTATCCTTTTAGAGCAGAAAACTGTAAAACGTCTTAAGTCTTACAACATATACGCAACCCCCATATAAAATTATTCGCAGAAATGATAACATCCTCAAAATGGATTCTTACATTAAGAAAGAACACAACCCATAGTTGCCCTTTAACATTTAAGGTATAGCACATATGCACAAGACCAACACGCCTAAGACGGTTTTGAACAAGTACGATCTGTCTTGCATTTCAACTCCTTTTACTTGTTTGAGATGCCGTTCATTTTCAAAGTAAAGTATGAGATGAGAACTGTTATCTATTTTTCTTGAACCGTACAAAATGCGAAAGGTTGATCTTGTCAGACAGTGTATCGCCCTAACCAAACTTATAAGGAATTACGATTTTTATCCGCTTCTTAACTGTCCCGTCGCAACAGGTCCGCTCCACTTAGTCAGAACCAGTCTAAGCAGTATTGTAACCCGGAGGAGTTTCGTTTGGAGAATGCGAATGAGTGAGTATGGTTTTACGCCGCGTTTAGCAACATTCCAGCAATTCACGGCGGGAGACACTAGAAATGAGCTTCATACATTGGCCCCATGTGGGGAATCGAACCCGGACCTTCGGCATGACGAGCGAACGCTTGAACCTATAGACTACCTGACCGCCCCTCGAATGGAGCATGCAGTGGAGAGTAGCACGTATATGATAGGATGATATTATCAAATATTGACATCATTTCCAAATCTGAGTCAACCCATAGCATACAATTGACCAAGCTTTTCAGTATTTAGTCTGTATGGATTAACATCAGTTACGCTAAATGTGGCTACTTTCAAGTAAATGGCGTAAACAGCCATGTGTCATAGCAGCCTGTAGTTCCTTACGTTCACTACAGGAGCTGGTCTTAATGTGTCACTGTACTACAGCTTCTTCGTATTGATGACCAAGATTGCTCTTTCTGGTTATGCTGGGAGTCACTGTCACCTTGGTTTGTTTTGTTTGTTTGTTGTTTAACGCCGCACTTAGCAATCCAGTGATTTACATCATGTGCATCGATCCACGCAAATTTGGATACGATGACAAGCATCAACCAAGTCAGCGAGCCTGACCACCCGATCCCGTTAGTCGCCTCTTACGACAAGCATAGTGGCCTTTTAAGGCAAGCATGGGTTGCTGAAGACCTATTCTACTGAGAGTTATATTCAATGTAAATTCAAAACAATTGTCAAATATTTTCACTGACAGTTTGCACCAAACAAATTTCAAATTATGTAAAATGTATTCACGAGATGTGCTGTCAAAAAATTCACCGAATATAACAGACTACATGTATATTTACAAATGCGAAATTCAACTTCAGTAACAACGATCAGTTGTGTTCTATCTGTGTTCTGTCTTCTGAACATCAGAGGCTGTCTGAAGCTAGCGGGCCTGACGTGGAAGCAAAGCTGGGAGCATAGATGGAGGTCGGAGCCGGATGTTGTGCTCCCCGAATAGGTTGCGTACCGTTCTGCCACAAACTGGTCTGCCCAGGAAATGTCCGACCTGTAAATGTGGAGGTTTGGTGTCGATTCCTTCGATGCACCAACCGAATACGGTTGTCTTGTTGACGTGACGTCACACGTGGACGACCGGCTCTCGTCAAGTCATGAGTGTTGCCCTGCTTCAGATAATGTCTCAAAAGAGAGGATATTGTGTTTCGATCAACATTAAAATGCCTGTCAACTTCGTTTTGCGCAATTCCTGTTTGCAGCATACCAACGGTGCGATGACGTTATTTTTCTCAAGCCGTGGCAGTGCGCAAGGGCTATACGGTTAAACAAAGTGTTTGTATGAGCACCTGACAACTCAACAATCAGTGTGTGCTGCTCGCGATCAAAATCCACGTGTGTGAGTATCATGCTTCCAACAAACACCAATCCCATTACGGGTCACGTCAGACCGACCTTGCGCGAACTTTGACCGACCAATAGAATGACCAATCAGAAGGCATCTTTCTCGTGCTTTACGCCACTAATTTCAAATAGGCGACTACGCTTCGAAACATATTTTGACATATTCTCGATTACAAATTTGAAACCTAAACAAAAGAACATTCATAATTGATGGTATAGATTGTATGGATTCAGTCGTTAAACCCGTAACTATCGTTCGGAATACCCCGTGTTAAAGTTTTCGAGGTTGTATGATTAGAAATCACATTCCGACTGTCACTTTCATGATCTGGTAAGCGTAATTAACTTTCAGAACAAATATATTTTTAATAAATTATATAATGTACAGTTCCTTTTTTCCGTTATTATATATATTCCATTCCGGGCGGTAGGAAGCCTAGTGGTTAAAGCGTTCGCTCGTCACGCCGAGAAGCCGTGTTCGATTCTCCACATGGGTACAATGTGTGAAGCCCATTTCTGGTGTCCCCCGCCGTGATGTTGCTGGAATACTGCTAAAAGCGGCGTAAAACCATATTCACCCACTCAGTCACTCACTATATTCCATTCCAGTATGTCTTGGGTAGCAGAACAATGTCAATAATATGAATCATATAATATTGTATTCTATAAGTAATAAGTAGTACTTCTAAAACAAGTAAACAAAAGAATCAAAATATCTTGGAAGACTTACATTGATGATGAATATCTTCGGTTTCCCAATCAGTGTCGGACAACGTCCGCCGGCGAAATACGAGATAAGAGTCTTCATGTGAACTGTTCGCCCGTCCGTGCACGTCACGTGGTCCTCAGAGCCGTGCGTCATGATGACACAGATGAAACAGTCACGCTTGCTGTGGTCCGATGCGGCTTCTGGATGAGATGGTGTTTTAGTTCGACCAAAATGATGTACTGTGCCCTGGCAGATCAATGCATTTTTGTTGCTCAACGCCACACTCAGCAATATTCCAGCTATACGACGGCGGTCTGTAAATAATCGAGTCTGGACCAGACTGCCCCGTGATTAACATCATGAGCATCGATCCACGCAAATCTGGATACGATGACAAGCAGCAACCAAGTCAGCGAGCCTGACCACCCGATCCTGTTAGTCGCCTCTTACGACAAGCATAGTCGCCTTTTACGACAAGCATGGGTTGCTGGAGACCTGTTCTACCTACTGAGAGTTTTATTCAATGTAAATTCTGTGTGTGTGTGTGTGTGTGTGTGTGAGAGAGAGAGAGAGAGAGAGAGAGAGAGAGAGAGAGAGATCGTGCCATAGTTTTAACATGAATACTCAGGACACTGACTCCGACATGTCCTTGTTTTTTTCCCTTTATGCCGAGCGCCAGGCAGGGTAACAACAATCTTCTTACATCTTATGGTGTGACGCTGCCAGGTGAAGACGCTTTCCACTTACCTCAACCGAGACAATTGTATTATAGGAGATCAAGGGGGACATGCATGGGGGACTCAGACTGATACGCTTCCTGTGTACAACTACAAAGTCCTGAACACTCACTCGACATGAGGCATGCCTGCAGCGTGTCCGCCGTAACGTCTTCGACTTTGTCGACGTCAAAGCCGCGGCTGACAAGTGTATCTGTCATTCTCTTGGCATCCACCTCGGCTCCGTTACGGCTGCTGATTGTGCTGAAGTTCTGGTTGCATATTATCAGTGCCAAGCCTCGCTCTTGACGGTTCAGCTTGTACTGGACTGGACCGGAAGTAATGTCACCGAAACCCTTTGATGAGGTTTTGGCGGCTTGCACGTTGTGACTCGGGGATGATGGCGTTGCTCTAAGGACAGAAACATGTTTCACTTTTAAAGCTTGTGCGTTACAAAGCGTCAACACGAGAACAGTACAAGGCTACACTTGACCATGTATGTATTCTGTAAAAAGGATTTTGTTGATGGAAGATAGCCCCTTAATACTAGATTTGCACAATATCCTATTCCAACCAATCCAACAGTACCATGCTGCACTTGACCATGTTTATTTTCTGTAAAAACGACTTTGTTACTGGGATATAGCCCATAAATACTAGATTTGCACAATATCCTTTTCCAACCAATCCTGTGAAAATTATACAATCGAAAGGAGTGAGTGAGTTGGGTTCAAGGCCGTAATCCAGTTACATCATGGCGTGTCTGCTGAATGTGGGAGGAAAGCCCGAAGTGATGCAGGCCTTAGACGTTTACCACTTTGCTAAAACACGAGCACGAGTATGGTGCTGACAAACCTGGAAACAATTGGGGCTAACCGGAATTCTAACCCTCTAAAATAGGTTGCTGGCGTGCCCAAGGGACGCAACTCTGCTCAGCAAATTGCGGCGCCTTTTGAGGACAGGGCCATCCGTTCCCCTACGATCTAAATAAAGCAGCCATGTGGTGGGACATGGGCCCAGGGTCAGTTATAACATGGAGATATGACACACTTGAGTCAATCCTTTACATACGAGTCGGGTTACTAAAATATGCACGCACGCACGTTGAAGCTTATACACCAGACATAATATCACATACGTACAATAACCATGCACTCGAATCCTCACACGCACACAGACAGAGATGCTAAAGATTCAACTTACACAGGAGCGTTGGTCCAGCAGGTAGCGTCCACTTCGTCAAGGCCTGTCGAAGGGGTTGAGAACAGGCGTAAAGTACATTATTAACAAGTCAAAACACTTCGAAAAGAGATTATATCTCTATGACAGAGTGTGCCAACTCCTTTTGCACTCCAGTGCACTACGCTGGATGCCATGACTTGATAATGTTTATCTGGTACGCTGATTAACACCTTTTTTTTTGGTTCAAAAAGTGACAAATCAATAAAATATTTATCTCAAGTCTGATGAACACGCATGGTTATGCATTCATTGTAAAATCTAAGTCTAACTACTTAATACCAGCTGTGTACACTGGTCAAGAGATCTTAAGTTGGTTGCGAAGACAAATTAAGTGGTATGTCGGATGCCAAGAGAGGGGTGTTAGCATGCTAATGATAATCAGAAGATATGTTTTTTAAGTGAGTGAGTGAATGTTGTCTGCCACGGTCAGCAATAGTCAAGCTACATTATGGCCGGGCAACGAGTGAGTATTTGTTTGTTTGTTTTATGTTGTTTAAGGCCGCACTTAGCAATACTCCAGCTCTATGACGGCGGTCAGTAAATAGTCGAGTTTGGACCTGACAACCCAGTGATTAACACCATCAGTATCGATCAACGCAATTGGAATCCATGACGTGCATCAACCAAGTCAGCGAGTCGGACCACCCGATCCCGTTAGTTAGCATCGTCGCCGTGTACGGCAAGTATGGGCAATGACTGAGTGCGTTGGGTTTAACGCCGCTTTGAACAAAATTCCAGTTACATCACGGCGTGTCAGCTTCATTTGGGATGAAAGCTCGAAATGATGCAGATCCCAGAGTTTCTTGTGAAACTCACAAGCACGGGTATGGTGCTGACAAATCTAGAAACATGATTCATGGTGTTCCCCGTCTGGAATATTGCTACAAGGCGGCGTAAAACCATATTCACTCACTCTCTATATATATTTGTTCTTTTTCTATAAAATGAAAGTCTGTTTGGGTGATAATAGTAGGCCGACCCAAATGTGGGTGTGTAAAAATTGTGATCCAGATCTTAAAATGAAATAATCCTGTGATCTCATAATCCTGTTGTCGTCTGCTTCGCTGACACAATACAACACCCACGAGTTTCAACACAACTGCGCTACACTTACATAGTGAATAGCTTGGTTGGTTGGTTTGTTGTTTAACGCCACACTCACCACTATTCCAGCTATATGACGGCGGTCTGTAAATAATCGAGTCTGGACCAGACAATCCAGCGATTGACGTCATGCGCATCGATCCACGCAATTGGAATACGATGACATGCATCAACCAAGTGAGCGAGCCTGACCACCCGATCCCGTTAGTCGCCTTTTAAGACAAGCATGGGTTGCTGCAAAGATACCAAGCAGGCATAATTATCACAGTTTTCATTGATCACATAATAATTTCAGCATACCCTCATAACATCGATATCAATAATAAAGAAGGATTATATTCACGTTCAGTTGAGACAGAAACAATTGGCGACCCGCGTGACTGATTTCAACTCCGTCGACATTTAAAGACTAGCTGTCTTACCTCCGTCATCCATGTTGGATTTTCAAAACACGCTTCAGCTCTTCAATTTGGGAAGACTGCCCATTGATTCGGTGAAATATGTCGAACACTGTAAACAATAACCCTAGACAGTCGAGCCGCCATACATCAAGGCAAGTTGTTTCTTGTAAAAAACGTCGCTGTTGCTGGTAACTTGCCAAGAGGCCCTCTAAGGGTGGATTTAAAATCGCGACGATGAGACGTACGTGACTGGAACAACGTATGGTCCTATATATACCATATGTGCAAGTGTTATTCAGTGTATCATTTAACAAAAAATAAATAGAAAACTGTTGTTTCGTTTATTATCCTGCTCTATACTGAAGTCGACAATAGTGCCTATAGCCGTGAATGACGTTGAGAATTCGTTTTCGGATAAATCGAACACTCTAAGCCGAAGTTTGACACAACTATTCATATTTAGTAAGGTATCGCCAATAGGTGTTAAACAAACAACAACATCCACCCACCTCTCTCACTCTCTCACACTGTGTGTGTTCCAATTATCATAGAGCGCATGCATGTTATAGCTCAATGTCAATCCTCAACTTGTTCACCTCGATACGACCCCTCACCAGAGATGTCTTCTTATAGGACTAAACTGCCTGATTTTGATGAGATAGATTGTAGGGTTGCCCCGTAGTTTTCAATAACTTATCATACCACATATCCGGATCTCTACGTTACTCAGCGGTCCACGACGTCTCATATAGGTATGTATATTTACATAAAGAAACAGTCCGTCAAGGGGGTATGTTTCTTCCTGAATTATAAGCAGATCAATACATCTATATGGCTTACTTATATACATATGACCTACATACATGAGTTCGCCCACCGTCCTCAGCCGCATGGATCACAAGTGGTTTTGCAACGATTACTTGATGGTGATGAATTATCTCCCTTTGTTTGGCGTTCTGAGTGTATGTCAATGTTCAGATTTCGGATGTTGTGTCCGGTGGCCACCTGCTTAGCACACTACTCATATGCAGCTATGTTACACTTTTTCTAACGAAGTTCTTGCTTATTCATTTCACCACTACTTCCACCTTGTTTTAGCCCCTCAATCCCAAGCGCCAGACAGGGTAACAACAAGTACCATCTTTTAACGTCTTTTGGAATGACGCGGCTGGGGATCGAACCCCGGACCTTCCGCTCTCCGGGCGGACGCTCTACCATTAGACCACGGAGGCGGTCCTTTACATGAAGATCGAGTGCCATTAACCTGCTGGGTGAAGAGTTCAGTGTTGTCAGTAAAAATGATATTTCTTTTGGATTGGCACCAAACATTTCTAACATCATTATCATACTTATGATACTATTATACTAGGATTATACAATCCTGTCCATATTTGACTCATTGTGAATTTCTGAAAATAAAGTAAGAAACATGTTTGAAATGTCAACATTGCCTATCTTGGTGAAACTCACAATCACAGATGCTGACAAACCAAGGATCATAATCAGGACCAGTCTGGGATTCGAACCCCCGAACAGAGGAATCTGCACACCTAATGGACAACCCTGGTTTGAATCTATCTGGATACCATTCATTCTGGATACAAATTTTCCATGCCAACCTGCAATTAATTGTCGAACCCTTATGAGGCCCCATTTAGTACAAAGGGGGTTCCCCCGTGGTTTCTAGGAACGCGTCCCCGCAGTTACGGCTATTTATAGATCCCATAACATTCTCAAGTATCATAGTGTCGGGCGTTTGATAAACAGGATAAGAATGACTTGAGCCGTGCCGTTTGTTGGTGAATTATTGACACTGATCGACGCGTGTGTTACATCGTTCCAAGAAATAGACAAGAAATAATACACAGTATATGCAGCTACCTCAAGCACGACATATCACCAGGCTTGACAATACGTCGCAGCGCCTGAGCTAAATAGGTTAGTGGATCTACCCCGTTCGCCTGTCTGAAATGTAAGCGATGTTTTTGTTATTATCAATGATTGATTACTTTCGGGTCGGTAAGTGACAACAACAGGAAATACTCGAATGATAACACAGTTATGTCACCTGTCTTGATAACATGCATTATAAGTAGTTGAAGTCATATTGGGTTTTGTGTTGGTGAGTCTATGAGTGTTGGGGGTAGTCCGTTAGATGCGGGTCAAGATGGCCATATGTCAATTTGTCTTTTGTAAATTTGATTTTTGTTATTGTTTTAAGTTGCAAGATATTTTCTGATTTTTAATTTTGTTGCAGAAACACATCACGGCATTTGCAACATGGCAGGTAGGTTGTCGTGGATGAAGAGCATCAAACAAGTGACCAATAGCATGAGTAACGAGCCATGCACACCATTGGGGCACGCTGACACACAGTCAGTCATCCATTGTTACCATCCGATCCTCGTTAGTCGGCTGGGGCATGGACAATCAGCTTTGTCCCCTTTATCTATCATGTCTCATGCATTGGAATTCGTAGGCCTACGAATTCACGTCATATTTACAATAATATAATATGCATGGTGCTTTTATAGATCCCGTATTCGATTCCCGACATGGGTACAATGTGTGAAGCCCATATCTGGTGCCCCCCTGCCGTGATATTGCTGGAATATTGCTAAAAGCGGCGTAAAACCATACTCACTCACTCACTGTATAGATCTACGTGATTATATGCCTTGGAGATTTTATATACGAAGTGCTTATTATGTATTTTCAGGTTCTTACGACGAGACGGATAGCTGCAATAGATCTAAAACCAAGATCAAATACATCGGGTAAGATACCCCTTTTTTCGTCTCATTAATTCCTATTTCGATTAAGGGTCTTGAATAGAAACAATTATTACACGGCTTTAAATAGTGAATATAGAAAACGTTTTACACTTCTCCGTGTGCTTGGTCCCTTATTGTGGGACTTGAAATAACAGCAGCCAGTCGAGTGCAAAGCTATCTTCCCGAGGCAAGGGAGTTAACTGACGATAAAAATCCAGTTGTCACCCTTGCCGAACTAGGCTGGAATTCCAGAGTTACATTTGGGCTGGACTAACGAGTCTATGCATAGTCCAATCAAAATCACGTAACGAACCCGACATCCGGTTCGAAAACAACATGGATTTCTAATGAAAATTTCGGTCGGCTGAAGGATTTGCAAAAAATTGTGTACCGCCAAGTGGGCGTCGACAGATATTTAGCAAATCTTTTCATGATTTTAATTAAGGTGCTCAAGTGATTTGATACACTTCACGAGGAAAGGCCGCTTTTATTACAATATTGAAGGTCTTGACTCGGCGCCGCAATTTTGTTTGGAGCAATTACAAGTAATATGAGAGGTGGAATCTGATTGGTCAATAGGAGGGACATAGAAGGGACATAACTCGTAATAGCCACTGGTGGCGCTACGATTGAGCCTGGAAATTCAAACCTAGTTCGTCAAGGGTGGAATGATTTATCCGGTCCATTATTGTATCCCAAACCATGTTTATTCTTTTCAGGAAAACCAATGTTTATGACAGTACATCATTTCCCTACTCCAGTACGTCCTCAGAGTGTGAACTGAAGAAGTATGACGTCACCAGAAACGGGAGGAAACTCGCGGTTGTCATCAACATCACAGAGTTTGAGAGCTCCACGGGGATGCCACAACGCACTCACGCCAAGACGGATGAAGCCGTCATCACTAACATGCTGGAACAGCTGCTGGGATTTGAAATTTTCCCCAAAGAAAACCTCACGTTACAAGATCTCATTGATCTCTTCGAGGAAAGTAAGTGCCAAACTCAAACTGACACGTATGCATATCTCGTCTTGTAGAAAGTAGAGGCATGACAAGAAACTCTGTTTGGTACCCCGGAGTGTGTCAGTATGGCTTTACGTCGCTTTAGCAATATTCCAGCAATATTCCAGCAATAATTAGGAGGAATACGACCAGCGAACACTTAAACCATTAGGCTACCTTGGTCGACTGGAAAGGAAAACTTTGCAATAGTGGCATTAAAGTTATGTGAGTCATGTTCATATGAGTGAGTGAGTTGGGTTTAACGCCGCTTTTAACAGTATTCCAGTTATATCACGGCGTGTCAGCTTAATGTGGGAGGAAAGCTCGAAGTGATGCAGGTCTCAGACGTTTACCACTTCGATGAAACCCACGAGCACAGGTATGGTGCTGACAAACCTAGAAACATAATCAGGGCGAACCGGGATTCGAACCCACAATCATAGGTTTCTGGCTACCCAAGGGACGCAACTCTGCACAGCGAATCGCGGCGCCTTAGACGACTGGGCCACCCGTGCCCCCCATGTTCATATGACACGCAAACCTTTTAAACCCCCTCCGGATTTGAAAACGGGGGAGGGGGCGATTATAGCGATGAGCATGTCCGTTCCATCTGACTGTCCATTCCCCGTTTTCCCTTTTAAAGAAAAAGTTAATTGAATTACTATTCTTTAATCCTTTAGATTACCATGTCATTGCCTGTCACAATAATTTGTATGGCGTCTCTTAGCTGTGTTATGCTGCTACATGTGTCCAAACTCTGCCAAGGACATGTTCAACAAAGCTATCCAATGGCAAGGAATAAAAAAGTGGGGTGAAAAGTGGGGTATAAGTAGCCAAACTGCATTTCCGAATTGCACAAGACCACGGTATATGTCATCCCCAGTTTTTGTAACATGTATGTTTTTGAATTGTGACAATATAGACTAAAACAGATGAAATACGCAGATGCTTGAAATCTATAGCTCCGAACTAAGGGGCTTTCCTCCTTTGCAGGCGTCTTCTAGTTTATATCTGAATTTTGTGTATCCAGCCAAGCATCAATTGGATTTCTGGACCATTTACTTTTTTACGTCGCACTCCCTAATATTCCGACTATTTGAAGGCGATTTGTATGTCATCATGTCTGGCTCAGACAAAACAGTATATTGATACCGGCAGCGCCCATGTTGGATGACCTGTGTCAATCAAGTCACTGAGCCTGACCACCCGATCCATTGAGTCGCCTTTTTTGAAGCATAGGTTGATGGGGACTTAATCGAACGCGGAATCCCACAGAGCAAAAAAATGCTTATCATGCAGATGGGTTGGGGTTCGGACCGTCAATATGATGTTACAAATCACAGTTCATACAAACGCTATGTGTTTCCACCTAGTGCGTAGCTGGGACTACAAGCACGTAGACACGCTGGCCGTCGTCGTGATGTCGTATGGGGACAACAGGGAGATCTACACACATGATGGCCAGAAGGTGGAGATGAAAGTACTGCTTGACAACCTCAAGGGCAAGAAATGCAAGGGACTTGCGGGCAAGCCGAAGATTGTATTTATAAATGTAAATCAATAATTTATTTCAGATTTATAAGACCAATAAGTAACCAATACTTATGGGTTTGTTTACACTCCGTGAAACCGTTGCTCGTGTTTGGTTTAACGCCGCCTTTAGTAATATTCCAGTCATATCAAGGCACCCCCAAAAAGGGTAGAATAGGTCTTCAGCAACCAATGCTTGCCGTAAAAGGTGACTATGTTTGTCATGTGGCGACTAACGGGATCGGGTGGTCAGGCTCGCTGACTTTCTTGATGCATGTCATCGTATCCCAGTTGCGTGGATCGATGCTCAATTCAACCACTGGATTGTCTGGCCAGACTCGATTATTGTCAGACCGCCGTCATATAGCTGGAATATTGCTGAAGGCGCTTAACAAACGAACAAACACACAGTGTATCCATTTGGGGATTACAACCCGGACTTTCTGCCTGTCGGTTGAAGCTTTATCAACTGACGCCACCGCACTGCCTCAAACCTGTCAAGTATTGATGATGATCAGATATCCGACTTTATGAGTAACGGCTGACCATTGGAGCAGAAAGTTTGACGATAAATGTCTTATTTAATCAAAGACATGCTGCCAAAACCAACATAAAAAAAGTGCATTGTGAATACTTTGAAAACAAACTATTACCATTTTAGGATTAAAACATACCAGAAAGTGAAGATATTTACAAATTAAAATATGATATAATCATGTTCTTTTTATGTTTGTTGAAAAATGCATAAGTAAATTTCAACCAACGTAGGATATATGCACAACTATGACGGGGAAAAGAACGTCTTGTTACATGTTCCCACAGGCAGGGAAGTGGGAAGAGTCTCCTGAAGATCTGGAGGAAGATTATGATGAGGTTGATGCATGTGTCAGTCCGGATGTGGTGACAGAGCCCAAAGACAAGACCATCTGTATCCCAAAGGAGTGTGACTTCATCCATGTGTACTCGCCAGTAACATTTGGTATGTTAACCTTTTGGCTGTTGTCCCAACTCTTCTTTCCTGATGTTGACTTCCATCACAGACACACTTAACACCGAGGGGGGTTTGTGTAAATGATTTCCAATGAAATACCTGCTGTTGGCATATATCTCAGGAACATTGTCAAACCATGTCTTGGAACATGTGACGCCAGGACCGACTTCCTGCATGCTGGCAGTGTTTGTGTGGCATCTTACCCTGGCTATATACCAATTCTTATGGCCAATGGTGTGTCTGTACCTGACCATTTCACACATACATGTTTTCTATGGAAAAAAGCTGTTCTAAATATGTAATGTAATATATATGTGAGGCGGGTCAGTGCTTCTAGGCAGGAACTGCAGGGAAAGCATCTTTCATGAGTGTTTCATAAAAAAATATATACATGTATGCTGGAAAAAAAAAAGGATCAGGAATATATTTGGGGATGTTTTTTTTTGTAGTGAATACTGAGCATGCTATTTCATTAAAACCTTTTTGTTTTGTTCATTATAGTTTTCCCTGAATGAAGGAGCCAATCAAATAAAATCAAAATCAAATCAAATCTGGTCAGCCAAATTAATATCTTCAACTCTTTGTTCTGAAGGTCACCAAAAGACTGGCAGCGTGGAACAAGGGAACATATTCCTGACAGCTCTGAGCGAGATGTGTCTGAAACTTGACAATGGGCCTCTGGAGTTCTGTGACCTACTTACAAGAACCAACCGCCAAGTTGCACACCGAGTCAGGTCTGCCTCAAGCATCCCTGCCAGACCCTGCTTCTTCCTCTCAACTCTCACGAAGGAGCTCTACCTGACACCCAACACATAGACACCTGGGTGTAGGCTGTGCACAGTGCCAGACCCTGCTTCTTCCTCTCAACTCTCACGAAGGAGCTCTACCTGACGCCCAACACACCTGGGTGCAGGCTGTACACTCTGCTTCTTCCTCTCAACCCTCACCCAGGGACTCTACCTGACGCCCAACACATAGACACCTGGATGCAGGCTGTACGCCCTGCTTCTTCCTCTCAACTCTCACCAAGGAGCTCTACTTGACACCCGACACATAGACACCTGGATGCAGGCTGTACACCCTGCTACTTCCTCTCAACTCTCACCAAGGAGCTCCACCTGACACCAGACACATAGACACCTGAATGCAGGCTGTACACCCTGCTTCTTCCTCTCAACTCTCACCCAGGAGCTCCACCTGACACCCAACACATAGACACCTGGATGCAGGCTGTACACCCTGCTACTTCCTCTCAACTCTCACCAAGGAGCTCCACCTGACACCTGACACCAAACACATAGACACCTGGATGCAGGCTGTACACCCTGCTTCTTCCTCTCAACTCTAACCAAGGAGCTCCACCTGACACCCAACACATAGACACCTGGATGCAGGCTGTACACCCTGCTTCTTCCTCTCAACTCTAACCAAGGAGCTCCACCTGACACCCAACACATAGACACCTGGATGCAGGCTGTACACCCTGCTACTTCCTCTCAACTCTCACCAAGGAGCTCCACCTGACACCCGACACATAGACACCTGGATGAAGGCTGTACACCCTGCTACTTCCTCTCAACTCTCACCCAGGAACTCTACCTGACACCCAACACATAGACAACTGGGTGCAGACTGTACACCCTGCTTCTTCCTCTCAACTCTCACCCAGGAGCTCCACCTGACACCCAACACATAGACACCTGGATGCAGGCTGTACACCCTGCTTCTTCCTCTCAACTCTCACCAAGGAGCTCCACCTGACACCCGACACATAGACACCTGGATGCAGGCTGTACACCCTGCTACTTCCTCTCAACTCTCACCCAGGAACTCTACCTGACACCCAACACATAGACAACTGGGTGCAGACTGTACACCCTGCTTCTTCCTCTCAACTCTCACCCAGGAGCTCCACCTGACACCCAACACATAGACACCTGGATGCAGGCTGTATACCCTGCTTCTTCCTCTTAACTCTCACCAAGGAGCTCAACCTGACACCCGACACATAGACACCTGGATGCAGGCTGTACACCCTGCTACTTCCTCTCAACTCTCACCCAGGAACTCTACCTGACACCCAACACATAGACAACTGGGTGCAGACTGTACACCCTGCTTCTTCCTCTCAACTCTCACCCAGGAGCTCTACCTGACACCCGACACATAGACACCTGGGTGCAGGCTGTACACCCTGCTTCTTCCTCTCAACTCTCACCAAGGAGCTCCACCTGACACCCGACACACAGCTGCCTAAGTCAGGCTGTACACACAAGTAATGATAATCAACACGCGAAGCCTAGGGTTGTGTGTGCAAACACTGATCAGACAATACAGGTTCTCCAGGGACCCAACCCAGCTTGTTGCAGACGACACACAAGTCATGACTCTGCCTACATGTAATATACTACTCAAAAGAAGTTAAGGACCATCCAGTTTTTCTTATTACTTTTGTTAATCAGTTATGAAAGAATCAGGTGGTCTTTAACTTCTTTGAGCAGTAAGTATATATAGGACAAGTAACAGTACATTAGATGTTTATTATTGTACTGTTTCTGTTAACATGGTTAACAATCAGCATGCGAAGCCAAGCATGAAGACATTTATCAGACAGCATAGGTACTCAATGAATCAAACAGCAATCTTCTATTGTACAAGGGCAGTGTATTGCCATGGTGGTCTTTGTGGACATGTAAATGTTTTGTTGGTTCTCCAACAGTGCAGTATGCAATATTACAGCTACATCACTACAGTTTGTAAATAATCATGTCAACCAGACAAATAAGTGGTTGATATTATAAATTCATGTTTAATATTGTTGCATTAGATATATGTTTTTACTTCTGAGAAGACTTTGTTCTCTTCATGTGAAGACTGCAGTGGCCAGAGACTATATACGATGTATCTGATCAACCCTTAAGTAAAGTTTTGTACTTGTATCTTTTTATTTTCTAATCAATCAAACATGGAGTGTTGAAACAAGTAAGAACTATTTTTTAGTTATATCATGGTGTGTCAGATCAGCCTATAGTGAAGCAGGTCAAATACATTTTCCACTTTGGGAACACCAACGGGCATGGGAACCATTGTATGTTGCTGATAAACCATGACACAAACTCAGGGTTGATCGGGATTCGTGGCCACAATCTATGGTCTGTGGCATGGATTCGTATCCACAAACATAGGCTTGTGGTATGAATTCGTACCCACAATCACAGGCTTGTCGTATTGATTCGAACCCACAATCACAGGCTTGTCGTATGGATTCGAACCCCAAATCACAGGCTTGTGGTACCTGACAACTGTGCCACCTGTACCCCCAGCTGGGATCAGAACCCTAAAAAGCAAAAATCTCTTGCTACAAAACAGTGTTCAGTATGAAATACTGCTTCCCCTTTAGGGATCCACTTTGAATCCATTCCAAGCATTAGTTTGACACTAAGCTCTTTTTAACTGTTCCTGCCATAGTTCCTCAAGTTGTTTGTTCCTATGGTTACAGGTGCAACAGTTGCCAAGATCTACAATCACATCCGTTGTTTCTGTAACTGAGAAACAGCATATTTCTCCACAAAAAATAAAAAAAACTTCTTCAAACCGACTGTTGGAATATTTATCATCCATATGTACAGGTATGTCACATTTGTACAGGGAACAGGACAGCAAACAACTCAGGTCTGTACACAATAAAACAGTAGAGTGAGTGAGTGAGTTAGTGAGTGAGTGAAGGAGTGAGAGACAGTAAGAGTGAGTGAGTGAGTGAGTGAGTGAGGGAGTGAGTGAGAGACAGTAAGAGTGAGTGAGTGGGAGACAGTAAGAGTGAGTGAGTGAATGAGTGAGTATGATTTTACGCCGCTTTTAGCAATATTCCAGCAATATCATGGCAGGAGACACCAGAAATGGGCTTCACACATTGTACCCATGTCGGGAATCGACCCGGGTCTTCAGCGTGACGAGCGAACACTTTAACCACTAGGCTACCCGACCGCCCCAGGGACAGTAAGAGAGAATGATAGTGAGGAATTCCACCTGTTTTGCAGATACCACCACTAACTAGACAGAATACTCGACATCACTGAAGAATGTGTAAAGAAGGCTTTCTGCATGAGAAGTGAATGGGTCTACCCCTCCTCCCCTAGACGTTAGCAATAAGTTAGATACATCTTAACAATGCCATACAACAAAATCACATACATACAGACATGTATATATATCGGTCATATACCACAAACAAAACCTCTAAACAGACAATCTGTAAACAGCCACCTACATATCATGCAATGTGTTCCTAACCTAATCATACAAACTTGGAACATTTCTTGTCTGGAATAGTTCAAACACACAAATACGACTAAAACGTAATTGCATACAATCTGTTGTTTAAATGCATTATTAATTTGATCTGGTAATAAGAAGCAAAGCCACCATCGTAAACATGCAGTTCATCAGTAAACATGTCATGAAAATTTATTAAAATGTGATGCAAAATAATAAACATCATGAGATTGACCAGATAACCTTGGGCAGGGGAGGTAATTTTCAAAAAAAGGAATGGACTTGGACTGAAGGGGGACAGCCATCTGCTGGTGCTTGTTTATCCCTGAACTAAACCTCTAGTATGTGTGTGTGTGTGTGGTCACTTGGTGGGTTACCATCCTTCCCCCCACTAAGACTGTGTATGAGGGCAGCCATCTTCTGGTGCTTGTTTATCCCTGAACTAAACCTCTAGTTTGTGTGTGTGTGTGTGTGGTCACTTGGGTGGGTTACCATCCTTCCCCCCACTAAGACTGTGTATGAGGGCAGCTAGCTGCTGGTGCTTGTTTATCCCTGAACTAAACCTCTAGTATGTGTGTGTGTGTGTGTGTGTGTGTGTGTGTGTGTGGTCACTTGGGTGGGTTACCATCCTTCCCCCCACTAAGACTGTGTATGAGGGCAGCCATCTTCTGGTGCTTGTTTATCCCTGAACTAAACCTCTAGTATGTGTGTGTGTGTGTGTGTGTGTGTGGTCACTTGGGTGGGTTACCATCCTTCCCCCCACTAAGACTGTGTATGAGGGTAGCCATCTTCTGGTGCTTGTTTATCCCTGAACTAAACCTCTAGTTTGTGTGTGTGTGTGTGTGTGTGTGTGTGTGTGTGTGTGGTCACTTGGGTGGGTGAACATCCTTCCCCCCACTTAGACTGTGTTTGAGGGCAGCCATCTGCTGGTACTTGTTTATCCCTGAACTAAACCTCTAGTATGTGTGTGTGTGTGTGGTCACTTGGGTGAGGTGAACATCCTTCCCCCCACTAAGACTGTGTATGAGGGCAGCCATCTTCTGGTGCTTGTTTATCCCTGAACTAAACCTCTAGTATGTGTGTGTGGTCACTTGGGTGGGTTACCATCCTTCCCCCCACTAAGACTGTGTATGAGGGCAGCTATCTGCTGGTGCTTGTCTATCTCGGCCTGCTGCACAGCCATCTTGTCCTCCCTCTCCTTCATGGCATTCTCCTGGTCCTGGACGACAGCCTCCAGAGAATCCATCTGAAACATGCAAGTCATGATATCATTTCCTCTCCAGACAGCTTCACATATACAGATTCATCTGATACACAAACACATGTTTGCAGATAGCCATTGATCTCATGCCACAGCTCCTGACAAAACTTTAATGATGGAGCTCTTGACTCTACCCCATGCTGCAGCTCTTGACTCTACCTCACGCTACAGCTCTTGACACCTCATGTCACAGCTTAAGACACTACCCCACAACACAGCTCCTGACACAACTTTAATGCTGCAGCTCTTGACTCTACCCCATGCTGCAGCTCTTGACTCTACCCCATGCTGCAGCTCTTGACACCTCATGTCACAGCTTAAGACACTACCCCACAACACAGCTCCTGACGCAACTTAATGCCACAGCTCTTGACTCTACCTCTTGCAACAGCTCTTGAGTCTACCCCACAACACAGCTCTTGATTCTACCCCACGCCACGGCTCTTGACACTACCTCATGCCATGGCTCTTGGCACTACCTCATGCCACGGCTCTTGACACAACCCATGTTGCTGATGAGTGAATGAGTGATTGAGTATGGTTTTACGCCGCTTTTAGCAATATTCCAGCAATATCACGGTGGAGGACACCAGAAATGGGCTTCACACATTGTACCCATGTCGGGAATCGAACCCGGGTCTTCGGCGTGACGAGCGAACGCTTTAACCACTAGACTACCAGACTGCCCCTGTTGCTGATGAGAACACTCAATGTACACTACAACTCCTGACACTGCCCCACGCTGTTGATGGGAACACTCACCTTATGCTGCAGGTCTCTCCGGAGCTGCTCAGCTCGCTGTATGTCTGTCCGGAGCTGGTCCACAGTCAGCTCCATCTTGTCCTTCTCCTCCTCAATGGTCGCCTTCTCAGCCGACACCTTCTTCAGCTTCTCGTCTGTTTTCTGCAGCGTCTTTGTCGTCTCTGTTACACACCAACAGAACCATTAGTTGTGGGACAATACACCAATGCATTGGAGGATCATGCTTTTGTACTTCTTGATCGATCACAGTCGCACACTAAGTGAAAAGTATCAATTCTTACCTTAAATGTTTTCTTGAATAAGTGTTACACTAAACACCAATTACTAGTGAAAATGAGTAGTGAAAATGAGTAGTGAAAATGAGTAGTGAAAACGTAAATATTTTCCTCCACTGTGCCATACCTGACACTGCCAGCTGTTACTCATTAGTGCGCTGGGTATTTGAGAATCCTAACTATGAAAAAGGTGGCTTACACACCACAGATAAGAGCATGCAATTATCGTGATGCGTATCAGATCAGGACCAAGGTATCATGATACGTATTGGATCGCACAGTTGGTGTATCATCCCAGCCCTAATAACTATACACATCATGTAAAAACAAGCTACTCATAACTACAACAGTCCATTGAGATAATCTGACTCATGGCATGAACAAATTTGTCAAAGGACTTTGGGAATATATGGATAACCCACCTTGTAGTTTTGTTTCTTTCTCCTTCAGTAATTTTGAAATCTGCTTCCTTTCATCTTCCAACTTCCTTAGATGATCAGTTGTCCTAAAATAAAAACAGACAAAAATTGCCATGACAACAAAAATGTGTCAATGTTGTCCAGTTAATATTTGTCGCTTAGGGTGAGTGAGTGAGTTGGGTTTAACACCGCTTTTAACAGTATTCCAGTTATATCAAGGCATGTCAGCTTAATGTGGGAGGAAAGCCTGAAGTGATGCAGGTCTCAGATGTTTACCACTTCGGTGAAACCCACGAGCATGGGTATGGTGCTGACAAACCTAGAAACGTAATCGGGGCAAACCAGGATTTGAACCCACAATCAAAGGTTTCTGGCGTGCCCAATGGACGCAACTGGGGACAACGAATCGCGGCGCCTTAGACTACTTGTCAGTTGGAGAAGAAGGTAGACACCACTGGTCATATCAAAATTGTCCCCACTCATTTTGGACCAGCAGTTCCTGAAAAGTAACTAGACTGATCAGAAAACCACTAGTCCCTCTTGATGTTCACCAGTCTGGGTGGGGCTAGTGTACTTGTGGCCATGTCTATTCCTGGAGAATGTTGCTTCATGCAGAAGTCCAAGTTATCTCCTCCATTCTGTCTTGGATCTGATCCAACACTTTACACCTGCTTGCAGGCACACCTGGCCAGGTGTTAAACTTAATCACCTTCCCATGCACACCTGAATTTTTTTGGGCAAGATGAAATACACCTAAATTGGATCACAATGCTTTGAAGACAATTGTGACATCATCAGTGACAACATCATTTACATGATGTCACAATCAAATGACATCACAAATCTCTGCCTCTGAAGCTAGTTACCTCATTTTTACATTGAGGCAACTGGTTATTACTGTTTACAACTGAAAAAGTGGGAAGAATGATCTCGGATGATAAACAGAATCTCACCCTTGTGTCTTTTGATATCAAATATATCGACATTTGTCGATTAAACTTTAAAATTCCTTGGCAAACCACAGAATTTGAAACTTTATCAACTTGTGTTGATACATTTGATATCAAAAGACACAAGGGTGAGATTGTCTATGCCTACAACATGTGACTCACACGTCGTGTTGCTGCTTCAGGCTCTCGTGGTGTTTCTGCAGCATGTCGTGCATCTCCGACATGGTCTTGTGCTCCTGCTGTAGACACAGGAGGCTGCGCTCACTCTTGTCATGCCTGTAGACACAAACACACTGTCAGTTCAACAGCTAGATTGCTCTCATCGATGTTACAAATAATCCTTCGCGGTACAAGACTTTATCAAAGAAAACCTATTGATAGTGAGAGAGTGTGTTTTTGTTTGTTGTTTAACGCCGCAATTAGCAATATTCCAGCTATAGGATGGACTCTGTAAATAACTGAGTCGGGACTAGACAATCCAGTGATTGACATCATGAGCATTAATGTGCACAGTTGGGATACAATGAAATCCATCAACCAAGTCTGACCACCCACCCGTAAGTCGCCTGTTGCAACAAGCATGCCCTGCTGAAGACCAATTCTATCCCGGATCTCCATGGGGGTGAGAGATTTTTAAGGTAACGTGACGTGATTACAAGGTAAAGGGATGTGATGTTTAGAACAGTGTCATTACTAACGAGAGGATATATAGGTGAATGAGCTGACAGACTCACTTCTCCTGCAGCTCTGTAAGCGCTGCCTTCAGCTCCTCGCACTCCTCTGACTTCAGCTCAAGTCTGTCAGGAAACAAGCCACATGGTTATAAAACTACAGTGAAACAGGAAGTGGTATGCTGAACCATATATTTATGCAAGGATATATGTTTGGCAATAGATGTATTGATACAGTGTTATAAATTAAGGGAGATCCTTGGGTCCTTGAAGGTGTTATTTCACAGTACTTTATAAAGTAGGTCCTAAACATCCTACACCTCTAACTCTGTGCCTACCTCTGTAAGTCCTGTGCCTACCTCTGTAAGTCCTGTGCCTACCTCTGTAAGTCCTGTGCCTACACCTCTAACTCTGTGCATACCTCTGTAAGTCCTGTGCCTACACCTCTAGCTCTGTGCCTACCTCTCTAAGTCCTGTGCCTACACCTCTAGCTCTGTGCCTACCTCTGTAAGTCCTGTGCCTACACCTCTAACTCCGTGCCTACCTCTGTAAGTCCTGTGCCTACACCTCTAAATCCGTGCCTACCTCTGTAGGTCCTGTGCCTACACCTCTTACTCTGTGCCTACACCTCTGTAAGTCCTGTGCCTACACCTCTAACTCTGTGCCTACACCTCTAACTCCGTGCCTACCTCTGTAAGTCCTGTGCCTACACCTCTTACTCTGTGCCTACACCTCTGTAAGTCCTGTGCCTACACCTCTAACTCCGTGCCTACCTCTGTAAAGCCTATGCCTACACCTCTTACTCTGTGCCTACACCTCTGTAAGTCCTGTGCCTACACCTCTAACTCTGTGCCTACACCTCTAACTCCGTGCCTACCTCTGTAAGTCCTGTGCCTACACCTCTAACTCCATGCCTACCTCTGTAAGTCCTGTGCCTACACCTCTAACTCTGAGCCTACACCTCTAACTCTGTGCCTATCTCTGTAAGTCCTGTGCCTACACCTCTAGCTCTGTGCCTACCTCTGTAAGTCCTGTGCCTACACCTCTAGCTCTGTGCCTACCTCTGTAAGTCCTGTGCCTACACCTCTAACTCCGTGCCTACCTCTCTAAGTCCTGTGCCTACGGCTCTAACTCCTTGCCTACCTCTGTAAGTCCTGTGCCTACACCTCTAACTCCGTGCCTACCTCTGTAAGTCCTGAGCCTACACCTCTAAGTCTGTGCCTACCTCTGTAAGTCCTGTGCCTACACCTCTAACTCTGTGCCTACACCTCTAACTCTGTGCCTACTTCTGTAAGTCCTGTGCCTACACCTCTAACTCTGTGCCTACACCTCTAACTCCGTGCCTACTTCTGTAAGTCCTGTGCCTACACCTCTAACTCCGTGCCTACCTCTGTAAGTCCTGTGCCTACACCTCTAACTACGTGCCTACCTCTGTAAGTCCTGTGCCTACACCTCTAACTCTGTGCCTACACCTCTAACTCTGTGCCTACCTCTGTAAGTCTTGTGCCTGTTGATCAAACTCATGCTGCAGAGTTTCACGCTCAAGGTTGAGTGTGTTGATCTGCTCTTGATACTTCTCAGCCTTCCGCTCAGACTCCTGGAAGTAGCAGCGCATCTTCTGTGTCTGTAAAATAAAGCAGCTAGTTAGATATTTTTCCAAACACAAGGGCAGATGTACAGAATGTACTGGGCTATGAGTCTGGGCTACTGCCATTACAAGGGCAGATATACAGAATGTACTGGGTTATGAGTCTGGGCTACTGCCGTTACAAGGGCAGATATACAGAATGAACTGGGTTATGAGTCTGGGCTACTGCCGTTATAAGTGCAGATATACAGAATGAACTGGGTTATGAGTCTGGGCTACTGCCGTTATAAGGGCAGATATACAGAATGAACTGGGTTATGAGTCTGGGCTACTGCCGTTATAAGGGCAGATATACAGAATGAACTGGGTTATGAGTCCGGGCTACTGCCGTTATAAGGGCAGATATACAGAATGAACTGGGTTATGAGTCTGGGCTACTGCCGTTATAAGGGCAGATATACAGAATGAACTGGGTTATGAGTCTGGGCTACTGCCGTTACAAGGGCAGATATACAGAATGTACTGGGTTATGAGTCTGGGCTACTGCCGTTATAAGGGCAGATATACAGAATGTACTCACCTCGCCTTCATACCTGGCCTGTCTGGTCCTGTACTGGGCTATAAGTCAGTAGCCTGGGCTACTGCCGTTACAAGGGCAGGTATACAGAATGTACTGGGTTATGAGTCTGGGCTACTGCCGTTATAAGGGCAGATATACAGAATGTACTCACCTCGCCTTCATACCTGGTCTGTCTGGCCCTGTACTTGGCTATAAGTCGGTCAGCCTGGGCTACCGCCATTACAAGGGCAGGTATACAGAATGTACTCACCTCACCTTCATACCTGGCCTGTCTGGTCCTGTACTGGGCTATGAGTCAGTAGCCTGGGCTACTGCCATTACAAGAGCAGATATACAGAATGTACTCACCTCGCCTTCATACCTGGTCTGTCTGGCCCTGTACTTGGCTATAAGTCGGTCAGCCTGGGCTACTGCCATTACAAGGGCAGGTATACAGAATGTACTCACCTCACCTTCATACCTGGCCTGTCTGGTCCTGTACTGGGCTATGAGTCAGTAGCCTGGGCTACTGCCATTACAAGAGCAGATATACAGAATGTACTCACCTCGCCTTCATACCTGGCCTGTCTGGCCCTGTACTGGGCTATGAGTCGGTCAGCCTGGGCTACTGCCATGGTCTTAGCCTCCAGCAGATTTTCCAAGTGCTCCTCCTTGGTCTAAAACATGGGGAGATGGGGAATTAGCAGATATCATATTTGCCATAATATGCATCCCAAGCACTTAGAAAGTTGAAGAAGGGACGCTGCTAGCTAAAACCATACATAGTGAGTTAAACTGTGTTTCAGATCGAGCAGTAGTGAACAGAATTAGTTTTAACATCGATGAAACTAAGCAGATAATAGTTTCAAGGCAATTATATCCCACTTCTATCCTACTGTGGCTGTAAACAATCTGTAATGGGCACAAGAAAATATGTACTGTTGTACAAATTTTGGTCTTAGCATGGGGTGCAGCTTAGTCGAGAAGTTGGTCAGGGGAAATAATCATAATCATATTAACTATGGTGAAATGAAAAAAAATCCACAATCAGAGTAATATGCTTATTGCACATTGTTCTTATTACCGAAGTTCCAACTGGAAATGAATGCTGATCTATCAAACTCTTCAGTAACTCTTTTGCCCAACATGACCTCCATGCCCCTTGTGATATCTGGTGTCATTTTTCTCTTCCAATGTCCCTCAGGGCTGATTACACTTTATCCGATGGAAGGTGTCAGTGCGAACCTTCAGTCCAGTGCTTGGCATCTCGCAGAGTGGTCCTGTAGGTTGGTTGGTTGGTTGGTTTGTTGTTTAACGCCGCATTCAGTAATATTCCAGCTACATATGATGGCGATCTGTAAATAATCGAGTCTTGACCAGACAATCCAGTGATTGATATCATGAGCATCAATCCACGCAATTGGGATCGATGACATGCATCAACCAAGTCAGCGAGCCTGACCACCCGATCCCGTTAGTCGCCTTTTACGACAAGCATAGTCACCTTTTACGGCAAGCATGGGTGGCTGAAGACCTATTCTACCCCGGAATCTTCACGGGTCTCCTGTAGGTTGGGCTTGCCTGAGATGGTTTGTCTACACTACTCCCTAGGCAGTGGACCCTGGGAAATGCTTGACTGAGGGGATAAGGTGGTAGGTTGCATTGCAGTCTACTGGCATTTCTTGGGCTTGGTGATCCGTTGGGCAACCACCAATAGCCAAAAACTATGCACGCCATCCACATCTTCTACAGACACATCCCAGAGGTAATGGGGTGCTCTAATCCTGCTGCGTCATAGGCCGGCAGGATTGTGGATCTCAGCCAAGAGGAGATGGTATTCCTGGAGATTCTCCTTTACAAGTCAGCAAAGGTTGGAAGAAGAGGCTGCGTCTAGTCGTTCTCCTGGGGCCTTCTCTGTTCTCTTTGAGGGTACAGACGGAATATTGCAGCAGCTCATCCTGGTCCTCCACCCTACAATGGGTTGCTGAGGCTGTTGGTTTTTGGCTAAAATCCCAGCACAGTGACCCTCGGGAGCGTTGTTTCCACTGGACTTGTGTGAGATCAAGAGCATTGAGCTCGCTAATCCTGGCTGCTGTAGCTAGAGCTAGTAGGTAGATGGTCTTCTGAATCAAGTGCTTAAAAGAGGCTTTGTCAAGTGTTTCATAGGGACGTTGTTGAAGGTTGGAGGTTGGAGGACGGGAGGGCAGAACGTCTGAAACTCCTTATGATAACTTCCAGTCTTGAGTGACAATGCAGACAGTATTGAAAGCAGACAGGCACATAGCTATAGTACCACCCATAAGGAGTTTCTTTGTTCTCAGGTGGAGCAAGTAATCCGCTACGAATTGCGCAGTTGCATCTTTCCGCCATGTTTCCTACAGAAAATCTCAAAGGAGCCCCATTTATCAACATACAGCCCCCTGGTGGATGGTCTATGAGCCTGAGCTACGGCTTGGGCTGCTCTCCTTGAGTAACCCTTGGCTATCAGTACCATCTGCATACGACCCAAGCATGAAGTTTGAACTGCACTGGGGATGGATGGAGGCTGTATTTGTGAGGGTCCTGCAGGGGATTGGTTGGACGACTCTGGGAGTTTCAGAGCTGGTTGCCCGGCGACACATCATGGGTCAGAGAACCAGGTTCTTGCCGCCTAATGCGGCAACAAAAGGATCAAGGACAGATTGGTTGTTGCGTTGGCATCAACAGTCCACACCTGAGTTTCTGGCATTGGAGACACGTACATCGGCAACTGTGTGCTGTGTCTTGTGGCAAACAGGTTGATGTTCAGCTGCCCCAACTGCTGGCACAGTAAACCGAAGCACTCCGGATGCAGTCACGGATGTCATGGATCATGGAGGGCAACACAAATTACTGATGCTGCTGATATATCATCATTCATTTCCACTTAGGACTTCGGTAGTAAGAGCAATGTGCAATATGTAATGCAGTATACGTTAAAAATTCAGGTGTTCTATAAGTTCTTTTGGGTAGTATATTTTGACAGTGTTATCATGGAACTATTAATGGTAGTGAAAGTTTTACAATTACCTGTAGAGTCTGAAATCTGTGCTCATATATTTCAATTATATCGGAGGCTTTGGTGTCTTTCACCTGTGTTGGAATAAACCAGACAGACTAGAGATCATGTAGACACACAGCAAAAACAAACAGAACAGGCCAAGACAACCTGTGATGAGGCATCAGTCGTTATATGACATAACAGCATTGCTTAATTACAGGGTCCACAAATAAGTAAATCAAATCTCTTACAATGGGAAAACAAAGATTAGATTAAAAGGACAGCGTTTGTTTCTTTAGAAGAGTAAGAGAGTGTTTTGGTGAGGTGAGGTGAGGTTAGGTGAGGTGGGGAGGGATGGGATGGGATGGGATTGGGCGAGGTTGGGTGGTTTTGGGTGAGATGGGGTTGGGTGAGGTAGTGAGTGAGTGAGTGAGTGGGCATCAGCAATATTGCAGCTATGTCCTGATGGCAAGGCAATCATCTGGGACAGACAAACCAGGACCCAGAAGCATGTGCATCCATCCATACAAGTGGGTTACAGTGACACCCAGGCCACACAGTAGTGTTCTCACTCAATCATGATTTAAGTCTGCCCTCAGAACCAACATGAAGTACTGGGAACCTATTCTACCATGGGATCCCAATGAAACAGTCATTGTACCAACCCAGTGATGCAGGACCTGACTGAGTTGTGCTTCATGCCACTCTAAGCATTTTTCAAGCCATATCAAGGCAGAGGACACCAAGAATGGGCCTCACACGCTGCATCCTTATGAGGATGAACCCAGGCCTTCAGTGAGAAGAGAACAAGCCACTAGGCTACCCAACCGGACCCAGTGACATTACAGAACTTATTATGGCAAGCTGAATAAGAGAATCTCACCAGTAGTGTTCAGTTCTCATATACATGGATATGAAATGAAGTGGTTAGTTGTTTTCACTAAGTATCCTCACCTCCAGGCTAGTATGCATCTTCTCTATGAGAGACTGCAGTGATGTGTCAATATTTTCATTGTCGGACACGGATCTCTTCATGGACTTCACTGGCACATTCTCCTTGTTATCCAGGCCACGCTTCACCTGCTGGTTCGAGTGTTTCATCGGAGTGACCGTCACGCTGGAAGCCGAGGACTTGCTGGTCTCCTCTGCCTTCTTCACATTCAAGGCAGCCACAGCATCTCCCAGACTGGGGAACAGCGATAATGTTAACTAGAACAACTTCACATTAAAGGCAGCCACAGCATCTCCCAGACTGGGGAACAGCGATAATGTTAACTAGAACAACCTCACATTCAAGGCAGCCACAGCATCTCCCAGACTGAGGAACAGCGATAATGTTAACAAGAACAACTTCACATTCAAGGAAGCCACAGCATCTCCCAGACTGGGGAACAGCGATAATGTTAACTAGAACAACTTCACATTCAAGGCAGCCACAGCATCTCCCAGGCTGAGGAACAGCGATAATGTTAACTAGAACAACCTCACATTCAAGGCAGCCACAGCATCTCCCAGACTGAGGAACAGCGATAATGTTAACAAGAACAACTTCACATTCAAGGAAGCCACAGCATCTCCCAGACTGGGGAACAGCAATAATGTTAACTAGAACAACTTCACATTCAAGGCAGCCACAGCATCTCCCAGGCTGAGGAACAGCGATAATGTTAACTAGAACAACTTCACATTGAAGGCAGCCACAGCATCTCCCAAACTGGGGAACAGCGATAATGTTAACAAGAACAACTTCACAAGGCAGCCACAGCATCTCCCAGACTGGGGAACAGCGATAATGTTAACTAGAACAACTTCACATTCAAGGCAGCCACAGCATCTCCCAGGCTGGGGAACAGCGATAATGTTAACTAGAACAACTTCACATTCAAGGCAGCCACAGCATCTCCCAGACTGGGGAACAGCGATAATGTTAACTAGAACAACTTCACATTCAAGGCAGCCACAGCATCTCCCAGGCTGGGGAACAGCGATAATGTTAACTAGAACAACTTCACAAGGCAGCCACAGTATCTCTCAGACTGGGGAACAGCGATAATGTTAACAAGAACAACTTCACATTCAAGGCAGCCACAGCATCTCACAGACTGGGGAACAGCGATAATGTTAACTAGAACAACTTCACATTCAAGGCAGCCACAGCATCTCACAGACTGGGGAACAGCAATAATGTTAACTAGAACAACTTCACATTCAAGGCAGCCACAGCATCTCCCAGACTGGGGAACAGCGATAATGTTAACTAGAACAACTTCACATTCAAGGCAGCCACAGCATCTCCCAGACTGGGGAACAGCGATAATGTAAACTAGAACAACTTCACATTCAAGGAAGCCACAGCATCTCCCAGACTGAGGAACAGCGATAATGTTAACTAGAACAACTTCACATTCAAGGCAGCCACAGCATCTCCCAGACTGAGGAACAGCGATAATGTTAACTAGAACAACTTCACATTCAAGGCAGCCACAGCATCTCCCAGACTGGGGAACAGCGATAATGTTAACTAGAACAACTTCACAAGGCAGCCACAGTATCTCTCAGACTGGTGAACAGCGATAATGTTAACTAGAACAACTTCACATGGCAACCACAGCATCTCCCTGACTGGGGAACAGAGATAATGTTAACTAGAACAACTTCACATGGCAACCACAGCATCTCCCAGACTGGGGAAAAGCGATAATGTTAACCAGAACAACTTCACAAGGCAGCCACAGTATCTCTCAGACTAGGGAACAGCGATAATGTTAACTAGAACAACTTCACAAGGCAGCCACAGCATCTCCCAGGCTGGGGAACAGAGATAATTATTAACTAGAACAACTTCACATTCAAGGCAGCCACAGCATCTCCCTGACTTGGGAACAGCGATAATGTTAACTAGAACAACTTCACATTCAAGGCAGCCACAGCATCTCCCAGACTTGGGAACAGCGATAATGTTAACTAGAACAACTTCACATTCAAGGCAGCCACAGTATCTCTCAGACTTGGGAACAGCGATAATGTTAACTAGAACAACTTCACAAGGCAGCCACAGTATCTCTCAGACTGGGGAACAGCGATAATGTTAACTAGAACAACTTCACATGGCAACAACAGCATCTCCCAGACTTGGGAACAGCGATAATGTTAACTAGAACAACTTCACAAGGCAGCCACAGTATCTCTCAGACTGGGGAACAGCGATAATGTTAACTAGAACAACTTTACATTCAAGGCAGCCACAGCATCTCCCTGACTTGGGAACAGAGATAATGTTAACTAGAACAACTTCACATTCAAGGCAGCCACATCTCTCAGACTTGGGAACAGAGATTATGTTAACAAGAACAACTTCACATGGCAACCACAGCATCTCCCAGACTGGGGAACAGCGATAATGTTAACTAGAACAACTTCACATTCAAGGCAGCCACAGCATCTCCCAGGCTGGGGAACAGCGATAATGTTAACTAGAACAACTTCACATTCAAGGCAGCCACAGCATCTCACAGACTGGGGAACAGCAATAATGTTAACTAGAACAACTTCACATTCAAGGCAGCCACAGCATCTCCCAGACTGGGGAACAGCGATAATGTTAACTAGAACAACTTCACATTCAAGGCAGCCACAGCATCTCCCTGACTTGGGAACAGAGATAATGTTAACTAGAACAACTTCACATTCAAGGCAGCCACATCTCTCAGACTTGGGAACAGAGATTATGTTAACAAGAACAACTTCACATGGCAACCACAGCATCTCCCAGACTGGGGAACAGCGATAATGTTAACTAGAACAACTTCACATTCAAGGCAGCCACAGCATCTCCCAGGCTGGGGAACAGCGATAATGTTAACTAGAACAACTTCACATTCAAGGCAGCCACAGCATCTCACAGACTGGGGAACAGCAATAATGTTAACTAGAACAACTTCACATTCAAGGCAGCCACAGCATCTCCCAGACTGGGGAACAGCGATAATGTTAACTAGAACAACTTCACATTCAAGGCAGCCACAGCATCTCCCAGACTGGGGAACAGCGATAATGTTAACTAGAACAACTTCACATTCAAGGCAGCCACAGCATCTCCGAGGCTGAGGAACAGCGATAATGTTAACTAGAACAACTTCACATTCAAGGCAGCCACAGCATCTCCCAGACTTGGGAACAGAGATTATGTTAACTAGAACAACTTCACATTGAAGGCAGCCACAGCATCTCTCAGACTTGGGAACAGAGATCATGTTAACTTGAACAACAGCTGAACACAACAACTGATACTTGACCTATCACGTAGGTCACTTATGACTTTTTCAGATTGCAGCCCCGCCCTTAGGATGACATGCATCAAGTTTCTTTAACCTGCAGTAAATTCTTTTTGAATTACCACAGGCTGTGAATTTGTTCAGACTGTGACCCTGGATGGTTTTGAAAACAATGCTGTGCACTTGTAGCAGTTAAATTCCGCAAACCTTACATCATCTCCCTTTACAGAGGACAGCTTAATAACACTATTAGAAGTAGCTCTGTATAACTGCTAGGAATAATGTATTCTTGGGGGTAAAAATAGTACTTATACTTATCCTGACTCATACTCATTGCGTATATCTACTCATTTTCGAAAGGTAGCTGAAACTTCCTGAACTGTGTTCCCGGAGAACAGAGAAAACATCGCACCCAAATGCACCCCTGGACTGAGCATGCGCACTGGAAGCATGTGACCAAGCCCAGTTACTCGTCACCCTCATATTTCCCGTACTTATTACGTCCGAAACAGGGGAAGAGGGGACAGCTGGGTTGGTGCTTTAGCAAATGAGTCAGGATAAGATAAAATACAAACTTTGTTGACAATGTGTTGACTCACATGACATCGGGGAAGTTCTCCAGGGTTGACCCCTGACACACCAGTCTGAGTGCCAGCTGTACCGTGTCACTCTTCTCACACACCAGACCTGATGCCAGGAACGGAACAATACGACCGTCCTGAAACACGAGGTCACCTCATCACAGGTCTTGCCATGACATCTTCGCAACTGTAAATTATGTCTACAGCTGGTCTAGATGCTACACTGTATACAGATTCAAACAAGAATTACACCTACTGCCAATCAACAAGAGAACTCACAAGAACAAAATAGGGAGAAACAAAAGTATGTCAAACTATTTCTTAGGTTGCGTAGTGTGATTACTATGCTGTGCTGAGAAGCATGTGGAGTAGATAGGTGATCTACACAACTTGTAACAATGTTTTTATTTGTTTGTTGTTTTACGCCGCACTCAGCAATATTCCAGCTATATGACGACGGTCTGTAAATATTCGAGTCTGGACCAGACAATCCAGTGATTGACATCATGCGCATCGATCCACGCACTTGGGATCGATGACATTCATCAACCAAGTCAGCAAGCCTGACCACATGATCCCGTTAGTCGCCTCTTACAACAAGCATAGTCACCTTTTACGGCAAGCATGGGTTGATGGAAGACCTCTTCTAACCTGGATCTTCACAGGTCTTGTAACAATGAGTGCATGTAACACGTGTTTATGCAGTTTAAGTCTCGATCAGCCCCAGATATCTAGTAAACTGTCCTAATTGACCCAATCAAGCTCTAAGTATACAATGTGGAAATGTTTGGCTGATTTTATTGGATCATAAATTAATCAAGAAATGCAGGGACTGTAAACTTGATCTGCTTAAGACAAAAAGTTGCAGTGAACAAGTTAAGTGTCTGCCAACTCTACAACCATCAGTGCAGCTGTTGCACGTACCTGCAGTAGCCCTGAGATGTACACTTCCATGTCCCGGACGTATCTCTTGATCTTGGTCATCAGGTGCATACACACCAGCGCCACCTTGATGCCTGCCTCACTGAAACACACGGAGCTGTGATAATCAACAGTCATATCTAAACACCTCCCTGTCACCCATTCATCATACAAATGGCGAGAAAATAAAAATGATGTTGCCCAGACTGAGGTGGTGAAATGGGGTTTAACGTCTTCGCGAGATTATTGCACTCTCTGTGTGTGTGTGTGTGTGTGTGTGTGTGTGTGTGTGTGTGTGTGTGTGTGTGTGTGTGTGTGTGTGTGTGTGTGTGTGTGTGTGTGTCTGTATGTGTCTGTATGTGTGTGTGGCTGCTTGTACTAGTCCTGACTGACGATTTATAGTGCTAGCACACTGAGATACCATGCCGCAGTTTAACATAAATACCCCACTCAGAAACAGTATACTGACTCTGAACTGACTTGTTCTTGTTGAAGCCCCTTAATGCTGAACGCCAGACAGGGTAACAACAAGTACCAAGAAGGACATTTACAACAAATACATTGATACAGGGATGCATAAATACTAAGATTTGTTTGGTTGCTTTTCAATGCCACACTTGGCAACATTCCATCTATGTGATGGCAGTCTGCACATAAACAAATCTCGATCAAACAATTGAGTGATTGACATCATGAGCATCGATCCACACAACTGGGATATGATGACGTGCAATCAACCAAGTCACCAAGTCTGATCAGCAGATCCATTCAGTCGCCTCTTATGACAAGCATAGTCGCCTGTCACGGGTGACAAATACTAACAATACATGATCATCAACCATCATGGCGAGCCCCGTGTGTACCTCCAGTCATCGGGTTGAGGGGGGCCAGGTTTGGGGTGCAGGATCTTGTTGTTGTCCAGCTGGAAGGCGATGATGGTCTGGAACAGGGGCGTGTCCACCAGGTCCACCAGCGATGCCTTCAGGTCATCCTCACTGCACAACACTGGGCACAGATGGGATCTCAGTGAGTGGACCTAACATACTTTGCACAGTACACCAGTTGTGTCATTGCAGCATAATGCTGGAGAAAAGCCCATTGCTTTTAAAAAGTAGTAAAGATAAAAATGACTGCATGTTTTGCGAATATCAATTTTCCTACATACATTTAGTCTAAGCAGACACAATTTTATGGTTAAAACCTTTTTAAATACTGTAAAAAAAGTGACGTTTCGGTATAGATCCTTATACCGTTGTCAACGTTGCATGACAACTAACTGTATAAGGATCTATACCGAAACATTGCTTTTTTACAGTATAAAAGAAGTTGTTATCCATAAAATTGTGTCTACCTTGTCATCTGTAAACTTCTAAGTAATGCCAATCAAACAGTTTACATTTAGTTTATTTCTTAGAGAGAAAAATTCATAATATTTGGCAAAAGTATTTAAATGTCCGAGTGAAAGTGCTGAAATCACAAGCTGCGTAATCAGCTTCCAAAACAAACCTATTTGGGGGCGTCACATAAAGCTACCGGCACAGCGGTGACAACTGTTTTCATTGGCTGATAGGTCTGCTGTGTTTAACTACCTTGTGATTCTCAGTCGCTATACATATAATGTTTCTGATATTTCTGTTAATCCTACAAAAACAACATTGAATACATAGTTGAATGTGTGAAAAGACTTTGATCTTTGACATTGTGAATAATTAAAAAAACAATTAACAATTGGTAACTATAGTTTTTATCGAAGATGATGATCGTTGAAAAAGCACAGTGCATCAAACACCAGGAACCCCTTTTCGCATGTTTTTTTGTCTGTTTTATGCCATTTTTCAAATTTCATTTTGGTCAGGCATTTGTGATTAAGTATGCCTAAGTATCAAAATCTGCAAAGTTGCTCTGTTGACTTTACTTGCCCTTTAATGTTCATCCCTGACTCGCATCGTTTGACATCATTACTGTCAATCTTCTCACAGTGTTATCTCTGAACATGGTTTTACTCTCTGGTTTAAAACAAAGCCATGTAAGCTTGTACAGTTCAACTGAAATGTGGGCCAAGCTGCAGAAAGCTTTCTTAGTGATATGATGATCAAAGCTATGTTAAGCTATGGGACCTGACAGTTGTAGCACAAAAACACTTTGTAAAACTGGGCCCTGCCTAATTTTTATGAAAAAAAGTGAAAAAAATCTGTGATGATAGTTTAAGGATGCGATAATATCCGAGTAAATCCAGGGTGTTGATCATGATTGTGATGCTTCTGTCATTGCTTCAAAATCAGCTGGGGCGGCCGGGTAGCCTAGTGGTTAAAGCGTTCGTTCGTCATGCCGAAGACCCGGGTTCGATTCCTGACATGGGTACAATGTGTGAAGCCCATTTCTGGTGTCCCCTGCCGTGATACTGCTGTAATATTGCTAAAAAACCATACTCCCTCACTATAAATCAGTTCTAAGCACCACATCCATGGCCAAGCCTCCATGGCCAACCCTACGTGAAGGGAATCTCGGTATAGATGTGACCACTGACCTGTGAGAAGTCTCACTGCCTTGACCACCTTGTTACACTTCCTTCTGACCAGCGTGGCGTCACCGTCCACACTTGACCGCAGGATCTCCACCAGCACGGGGAGGAGCAGGTCCGAGTGGATGCACAGGTCGGGGGTACGGCCGGAGTACAGCACCTCCTGCACAACATGGAACCCATCTCAGTAGAATCATGTTTGTTTGTTTGTTTGTTGTTAAAAGGGCAAGTATCATGAAAAATAGTAACAGAATTTTCTTACATCACTATGTTGCCAGTATGATGTACAATACGATGGCTGAGAAGAAAAGTATGACAAGGTAAAGTTATTTCAGTTGTGCTTAATTAAAAGTATGTATTTTTAGGTATGTATTTGTCACAACACAAACAAATCTTAAAAGCGCTAACAAGGATGTGTAGGTTAATAAGCACGGCCGGCTTGGCCTGCAAGCTGATTGGGTATTATCACCATTTGCAGAAACATTCAACTTTATTCAAGGAAAACAGATTCAAATCATGTTTATGTATGGAAATAGCTCTAGAACGAAATACGAAGTTTTATTGTTAAATTCCGGGCTGGCTATAGAACGCTGGTTGACATCGCAAGTGGAAGCTGAAAGTGAAACACCTGTTAAAAAATCTTAACCCCCTCATTCTAGGTACGTAAAACTCGCCTAATACACAGTAATAGTTTCCACCCTTGTCGAACTAGGCTGGTATTATGGAGTTACATTTTGGCTGGACTAACGAGTCTATGCATAGTCTAATCAAAATCGAGCAACGAAATCGAAATCCGGTTCGTAAACTGTCATGCAGATTTTGGTTGATTGTAGGATTTGCAAAGCATGTACCCCCTCTAACTCGTTGTCAACAGATATTTTCCAGATTTTTTCATGTTTTTAATCAAGGTGCTTGCGTGATTTGATGCACTTCTCGATGTAAGACCCGCTTTATCACAATGTAGAGATCTTGATTATTACTGATCAGATCCCCTTGACTGGGTGCCGCCATTTTGTTTGAAACAAATGCAAGTGATACGAGAGGTGGAATCTGATTGGTCCAAAGGAGAGGCTTAAAAGGGACATAACTCGTAATAACCACTGGCGGAGCTACAATCGAGCCCAGGAATTCCAGACTAGTTCGGCAAGGGTGGAAACTGGACTTTGAAAGTCAATTAACTCTTTTCACGGTTCCCACTTTTTTTCTTCCGAAAAATTCCCTGACATTTCCCTGATATTTCCAGAGAACTTAGAACTTTTCCAGACTGCATTACACGGCCTCCATTATAACAACTGGGAGTGGTGTTTTAACTTTATTATATAAACAGCTTTAAAATAGACCAATGGAAACGTCTTTTTTTAGATATTTCTGTACAAAAGTGTGTTATGTTTGGTTTAAGGAAAACTAAGTCACCAAGTAATTATCCTCCCCTTAAGGCCATCCATCTGCCACCATTTAAAGAGTTCAAACTACAAATTAACTCCATCAATCATTGCCTAATCAAAACAAGAGTATTACAATTTTTGAAAATGGACTTCAGGACTAGGATCTCACAACTTTAGAAACATGAACATGAACTAATTAGTGACATTATAATAAAGTAAATACCATCACTACTTTCAGTGCAACATTCATGCACAGCATTTCACAAACTAACCATTCAAATATACATCTGCACTTTCAAAAGGTCACCAGGGAATAGATAATTATAACCACAACTGAAGTCACCCTAAGTTTTTCCAATGATTTATCTAACACTGATACACTTTTCATTAACAAAGAGCTTTATACAATCCTAATTGCATTATTTTGTTTGTTCTTGAACAGTAGAACTTTATGAGATTTGAAATTTTACATTCAAATTGATTTCTGAAATTCAAATGGTAAACTAATACCAAGGCAATGTAATATTTTACTCAAAATATTTTAAATTTAGAATTTAGTTAGCTCTGGAGGTAAGGGGCGCAAATCCCTATCAGCCACATTGACCTTGACCTTGATATAGTAAAATTTGAAAAATACCTCTTTTTCAAACGAATAAACTCCATTGCTTAAATTTGAGTGGCTGCCACAACCATTAAATAATAGAGAGTATGAGTTCCAAGAGCAAAAAATCCCTGATAAATCCCTGATTTTGAAGTTTTTAGTGAATTCCCTGATATTTCCCTGACTGGAATTTTTTCCAACACATTTCCAGGTTTTCCAGTGGCAGTGGGAACCATGCTTTTGCCTCAAGAAGATGAACTGCCCGCTACTATTCTTACCGTGCGCCTGCCTACCTAGCAACGCATCCCCCTCATCCGCCATATTCGTTCTACATCCTTTTAGAGTTATCCCCCTTACACTGCCCATACATGTATGGTCATTCGTCACCACTCATCCCTTTCCGTAACCTGCAAGAAGACTCGTCCCCCTATCAATGTATGTTATGTGCGAAAATACGACAAACCAATCAGAATGCGCGTATGATTTTGAGTTCTTCGTCAAAAGAATCCCTTAGAAATAATTTTTGATTTTACATATGTCTTGCATCTAAAACTATACCCAAGACAGTTAAATGTGTTCAATCATGCTGTATAAGTCCACATGTCCAGATGTGCTTTAAATTGCATCTGAAATATATATAATATATGGGAAAATATATGTTACCCATTATGTAACAAGTTGGCAATTGTTTTAGGTATACCCGTTTGCGCTAAGACGGAACCTGGTCGCAAATATGGCCATGAGAGGGGCACGAGTCGCTATTCGTCTTGTCCTGGAATAACCTGAGTTGGTCACAAATGATGTATGGTAACACAAGTTACCTCCCCTTATACTACAAGATGTAGCATGACATACCTACATGGATCAGATGGATGGTGTCTCACAATGGTGGGTTCATTCTCTCATACAACTTCCATGTCCAGTGTGTGCTCAGACTTGACCACAGGTGGAGATATTACAGCACAATCCCCCCACTCTCCCACCCCAACCAGCGGTAGAAACTAACAGTTTCTGTCCACTAGTCCTTATAATGATAGCATATAGCAAAACCTTTAAAAATCTCAAAATTTTACTGGTCCTTAGGATACCTTTACTATTGGGCAGTTTGGCAAGGACTAGGGGACTAGTGCCAATTTCTAACCCTGCCAACACATACACACACTACAGAAAGTTCATGTAAAAGTGTAGGAATTATCATACGGTCATCACTTGTTTTATTGTTTGTTTGTTGTTTAACGCCGCACTCAGCAATATTCCAGCTATATGACGGCGGTCTGTAAAATAATCGAGTCTGGACCAGACAACCCAGTGGTTGACATCATGAGCATCGATCCACGCAATTAGGATAGATGACATGTATCAACCAAGTCAGCGAGCCTGACCACAAGATCCCGTTAGTCGCCTTTTACGACAAGCATAGTCGCCTTTTACGGCAAGTATGGGTTGCTGAAGACCTTTTCTACCCCGGAATCTTCACGGGTCACTTGTTTTATCGAACACAGAGTATTGTGAAACTACTTGGAATGATGGACGAAATATCACCAATACATGGACAAACAAAAGCATTCATTCTTTGACAAAGCATATAATCGAGTTACAACAGTCAAAGGCAGATAACTTCGTATCTCATCCTGACAACACAAAGAAAACACAAACCTCGTAAATCTCTGTGAGCAGATCCAGGGCAAACAGTGATGCTGTGTCAGATGTGTCCACTGTCTGCATGGCCCAGTGGACGACGGCAAACAGCGGTTCAGACTGACCACTCACGGGACCCTTGAGAGCATTCCGGTAGTGGTCAGCTGACTGCAGTCTGGGGGCACTGAACAAGGTCTTGCAGATGGACGTCCTGATGGTGCCCAGGGTACAGAAGCTGAGCAGCAGCTCAAATAACTGTGGGTGGAGAGTGAGGGCAGATTAACAAAGGAGCATGTGTGTCTGAGAGAGTGAGGGTAGATTAACACAGGAGCATGTGTGTCTGAGAGAGTGAGGGGAGATTAACACAGGAGCATGTGTGTCTGAGTGAGGGGAGATTAACATAGGAGCATGTGTGTCTGAGTGAGGGGAGATTAACACAGGAGCATGTGTGTCTGAGAGAGTGGGGGCAGATTAACACAGGAGCATGTGTGTCTGAGAGAGTGAGGGCAGATTTACACAGGAGCATGTGTGTCTGAGAGTGTGAGGGTAGATTAACACAGGAGCATGTGTGTCTGAGAGAGTGAGGGCAGATTAACTCAGAAGCATGTGTGTCTGAGAGAGTGAGGGCAGATTAACTCAGAAGCATGTGTGTCTGAGAGAGTGAGGGCAGATTAACTCAGAAGCATGTGTGTCTGAGAGAGTGAGTATAGATTAACACAGGAGCATGTGTGTCTGAGAGAGTGAGGGCAGATTAACTCAGAAGCATGTGTGTCTGAGAGAGTGAGGGCAGATTTACACAGGAGCATGTGTGTCTGAGAGAGTGGGGGCAGATTAACACAGGAGCATGTGTGTCTGAGAGAGTGAGGGCAGATTAACACAGGAGCATGTGTGTCTGAGAGAGTGAGGGCAGATTAACACAGAAGCATGTGTGTCTGAGAGAATGGGGGCAGATTAACACAGAAGCATGTGTGTCTGAGAGAGTGAGGGCAGATTTACACAGAAGCATGTGTGTCTGAGAGAGTGAGGGCAGATTTACACAGGAGCATGTGTGTCTGAGAGAGTGAGGGTAGATTAACACAGGAGCATGTGTGTCTGAGAGAGTGAGTATAGATTAACACAGGAGCATGTGTGTCTGAGAGAGTGAGTATAGATTAACACAGGAGCATGTGTGTCTGAGAGAGTGGGGGCAGATTAACACAGGAGCATGTGTGTCTGAGAGAGTGGGGGCAGATTAACACAGGAGCATGTGTGTCTGAGAGAGTGAGGGCAGATTAACACAGGAGCATGTGTGTCTGAGAGAGTGAGGGCAGATTAACATAGGAGCATGTGTGTCTGAGAGAGTGAGGGTAGATTAACACAGGAGCATGTGTGTCTGAGAGAGTGAGGGCAGATTAACACAGGAGCATGTGTGTCTGAGAGAGTGAGTATAGATTAACACAGGAGCATGTGTGTCTGAGAGAGTGAGGGCAGATTAACACAGGAGCATGTGTGTCTGAGTGTGGGGGGGGGCAGATTAACACAGGAGCATGTGTGTCTGAGAGAGTGAGGGCAGATTTACACAGGAGCATGTGTGTCTGAGAGAGTGAGGGTAGATTAACACAGGAGCATGTGTGTCTGAGAGAGTGAGTATAGATTAACACAGGAGCATGTGTGTCTGAGAGAGTGAGGGCAGATTAACTCAGAAGAATCTGTGTCTGAGAGAGTGAGGGGAGATTAACATAGGAGCATGTGTGTCTAAGAGAGTGAGGGGAGATTAACACAGGAGCATGTGTGTCTGAGAGAGTGAGGGGAGATTAACACAGAAGCATGTGTGTCTGAGAGAGTGAGGGCAGATTAACACAGAAGCATGTATGTCTGAGACAGTCAGTCCCTCGAGAAAACCTACCTTGGTGACAGTTTCTCCTGTGCTGGAGGCAATCAGGTTCAAGGTGTGGTTGATACATATCTGTAGGTGTTTATACCTGAAATAACGAAGTCACATCCAAGATAAACCACATGCGTAATTATCATTGAAAACTTACATTAAAACTTACATCGATAAGTATTATGTTGATCATGAAGCAAACAAAATCCTCTACCAGCACGATCTTCCAAAGTATTACCTGACAACCTATTGCTAACCCTGAAAGTTAAGCGAACATACAACTGTCCGACTAAAGGGCTTATGCTCCTTGGTACCACATCCATGTGCAGTACAAGCCAAGATGCTGTAACGGGTGCCACTGGAGCGGCAGGATACGCCCACCTTTTCGCTAACATCTGGTATCACAATTCAATACAGATGCTCATGATATTGTCAGATTCTACTTTTAGTAGATATTTCTGATACTTATGGATACTTTCTGTATTTTATGTGTTCATAAATGATACATGAAAGTGATAGATTGTCTCTGTGGTGTTGGTGGTATCATCAGCTGCTGCCTCGGCATGCATGAGTATATTTGAGTGTGCAGATGAACAAAATGGTTTCAAGTGACTTTAGTGAGTGACTGAGTTGGGTTTAACGCCGCTTTTAACAGTATTCCAGTTATGAATCGCGGCACCTTAGATGACTGGGCCACCCGTGCCCCCTAAGTGACTTGAATCAAACCCGTCAGGACAGCCAACTTCACCGAGCCATCTCCTGTTTAGGTCCCACATTCAGGAGTGTACTGGGACCACCAACATGAAACTCACCTCTGTAGGGAGTTCTGTATGCTGGGTTTCTTCAGCAGATCCTGGAAGAGGTCGACAACGTAGAGACGCGTCACACCAAAGTCTCCATTCACCAGGATGTTGAAGATCAGCTTCAGAGTCTCATTCACATTCTCTGTGTTGAAAATCTGGAGAAAATAAACTAGAGCTGAATCGAAGTTGTCAGTTTACTGCAATACAATCTTTTGGAATTTATCTCAGAAACACCAATGACAGCAAGAGAGAAACAACATTTTCTTTTTAAGCACTAAACGTTTTGATATCTACGTGACAAGATTTGGTTGAAAACAGAAATACTATTGTTCAGTGTGAAGGTGTTATACTGACACATGCAGTATAGAAGTACACAAGACCCATGAAGATCCGGGGTAGAATAGGTCCTCAGCAACCCATGCTTGCCGTAAAAGGCGACTATGCTTGTCGTAAGAGGCAACTAAAGGGATCAGGTGGTCAGGCTTGCTGACTTGGTTGATGCATATCATTGTATCCAAATTGCATGGATCGATGCTCATGATGTCAATCACTGGATTGTCTGGTCCAGGATGGATTATTTACAGAGCTGGAGTGCAGCATTAAATAACAAAGAAACAAAAGAAGTTTGAAGAAAACGTTCCAGATGTAATATGACTGAAATTGCCAGTAACACATGCACCTGTCTCTGGTGGCCGTACCTCCTGACCGATCTCTTCATGAAGACACAGACTCGTGAGGACACACATGCTGAACACAGCAACAGTCAGGTTCTTGTCCGAGATGTACGTACACAGCATCCGCATCAACCGTTTAAAGTTCTCCTGCAATATAGCCATGTTTTCACCAATAATTAGTCCCTGTAAGCTTTAACATAGCATTACAGAAAGTTGTTTTGAAGGGATACTGTTTGTTTCTGAGAAGTCAAGACAAGATAAACACCTGATACATTCACGCAACATTTACGTCTAAATACAAAACTAAACGTATTCTAAAGGAGGCCATCAAGCGATACTCCAGTCTCATTAAAATCAGATCTTAGTTCTCACTACCGCTAAACAAAGCATTACAGGTCATGTCAGACCGACCTTACACGAACTTTGACTGACCAATGGAATGACTGACAAGAAGTCGACATTAGCCAATCAGAAGGCAGCTTTCTCGTGCTTTACGGCATTAATTTTAAATTGGCGACTATGCTTCGAAACATATTTTGACAAGTTTTCAATAAAACATTTGAAACCTGAACAAAAGAACATTCTGGAATGGCTAATAGATGGTCTAGATTGTATGGATTCAGTCGTTAATACCGTAACTCTCGTCCGGAACCCCCCCGTGTTAAAGTTTTTGGGGTTGCAAGATTAGAAATCACATTGCAACTGTCACTTTCATGATCTGGTAAGCAACGCTCTGATTGGTCGGATGAAAGGTCGTTCTGACGTGACCCCTAATTGGATGTCCTTAGATCTTTGTTTAGCGGTAGATTTTAATAAGCTTGGCAATACTCAATGGCTAGAAGACACAAAGTAATGGAATTTCATTTCTGCACCCAACTCCAGTGTCATAATAGAATAAGTTTCCCTTCCCCTTTTTTGGCTAATTAGTTCAACTTGGTACTGTAAATGTGTTTGCAAATCTGAAAAACAATAACAGAAATTCATAGCCTAGAAAGATAACGGTTTCATGCAGAAATATTCAGTAACTGTAGAATTTTGGTGGGAAACAAACCCTACATGTTTGAGACTTAGTCAAAACTATTTCCATGGAAACACAACAAATTAAAAACAAAAATTAATTTAAAAATATGAAAGGGCAATAGGTGACCATATGGTCATTGCACATGTATGCTCAAATATTCATTAGTTTGAAAGTTATGGCTCGGAACACTAAGCCTAGAGTTGTTTGAGACTAAGTCCAAATTGTTTCCATGGAAACATAACAAAATGAAATTTAGAAAAAAATCAAAATAGCAAAAGGCACCAGTGAAGCTGATGAGCAATGCATATCCCAAGTTTTGTTGAAATATGTTTAACATTTTTCAAAATATGGCCCAGAAGTGAACCCTACCCTCGGCTGAGACTAAGTTGTAATTGTTTCCATTGTTGACAATTTTCAAAATAGCAATAGGCACCAGTTATCTGACAACCTGTGCATACGTGCAGTATTCTGTGTGATGAGGACGTACCAGACTCTTGACATACGACTGTACTGTATAGTTGTCCCGAGACAGGTTGGCTAGCAGACCCAGACACGACTGGGTGATCTCATTGGGAGTCAGTCTGAAACAGGTCACATGTTTCAAACTGAGAAAAATACTATCATCACTTCAGAGGGGAATTTTACAACAGATGCAATTTGTTTGTTTGCTTGTTGTGTAACACTGCACTCAGCAATATTTCAGCTATATGACAGGGGTCTAAATAATCATGTCAGGACCAGATAATCCAGTGATTGACATCAAGAGCATTGAACTACCCAATTGGGATACAATGACACGCATCAACCAAGTCAGCGAGCCTGATCACACGATCCCGTTAGTCGCCTCTTACAGCAAGCATGGGTTGCTGAAGTTTCTAACCCAGTCTTCACAGGTACAACAGATGAGAGTGTGCTGCAAAGTGATTTGATTAAAAGAGTTACTAAATAGGATTTGAAACCAGTAAAACTTGAAAAATAACACTTTCTTCAGTCTCAAATTTGTGAATGTGATATATGGCATGAATACATTTTGATTGATACATGTACTTAATATGAACACTTTGCCTTGGTTGAGTTTTGACATGAAATCTTATGTATGACATCATTTCTCTGTTGTCTTTGTTGTCCACAGGCTTATCATGTCCATCTTCCCGAGGCAAGAGAGTTAACTGACTTTAAAAGTCCCGTTTCCTCCCTTGCCGAACTAGGCTGGAATTACTGGGCTCGATCGTACATCCACCAGTCACTATTACCAGTTATGTCCCTTTTAAGCCTCTCCTATGGACCAATCAGATTCCACCACTTGCGTTTGCTTCACACAAAATGGTGGCGCCCAGTCAGGACGATCTGATCGATAATCAAGATCTATATTGTGATAAAACAGGTCTTACATCATGAAATGCATCAAATCACGTGAGCACCTTGATTAAAAACATGAAAAGATTTGGAAAATATCTGCTGACAATGAGTTGGCAGTGCACATGCTTTGCAAATCCTGCAATCGATCGAAATCGGCACGACAGTTTCGATTTCGGTGCGCTATTTTGATTGGACTATGCATAGACTTGTTAGTCCAGCCAAAATGTAACTCCATAATACCAGCCTAGTTCGGCAAGAGTGGAAATTGGACTTTAATAGTCAGTTAACTTTCTTGCCTCGGGTAGATGTATCATGTCTGTCTCCCAGCTGTTAATTTCTGTAGAAAGTGAAAGCTTTTGAAAATTACTGACAATCTTTGTTTCTACAATGTTCATAAAAGTGTTTGTTTTTTTTCAGTTCTGTGGGTGTTATTGAATATTATATACATGGGAATTTTGTAACTTAAATAACCTGCACTAACAACGCTGGTTCAGACATGATCCTTGTGTAAAACATTAAAGATTTATGGGGTCTCCAGATTCAAATACCATGGAAGACCCCAAGGACAAAGCTATCTTAGTGCTAAGATGATCGCAACTCACATACTTTAACATAGACTTACGACAGTCGTAGTGTTAAGATCGCCTTATGGAACAGGTCCAACGACTGCACTGACACCATCCATTTTAGTCGTCTCTTACGACAAGCATTGGTTTCTGATGACCAATTCTACATTAGAATTCCCATAGGGTAGTCTTTCTGCTCAGTGGTGAATGAACCTTGAGCATGTTGACTTCTACATGAAACTGAATTAAAAAACCGAAAAACTTCACAACACCAGCACAACTCACACTTGTTTAATGAGGTATTTGAGAAGATCTTCCATGAAACTCTCATGGAAGCTGATTCTGTGACCATGGGTGATCTTCATCATGAGCTGCAGACACTGAAACAGTCAGCACAAGACGATTCAACACACTGTTAATCTTGAAATTAATGCAGGCGTGAATTAAGTGCGAAAAATGCGAGTTGGCTTTGCTTGCATTAATTAACTACGCATTTATGTCTCCAAAATGACTGTCAAGAATAAGCACTTTGAGCAGGCTTCAACAGAAGGATCATAGCACATTACAAACATCCGTTTATTACTATTATCAAAATGGTCACACCACACACAAGACAATCCAAGGGGCGTGTGTGCATTACCTCTGCTGTGAGCTGGTCTGAGGAGGGGCCCCCGTGAAGCTTCAGCACCCCAGCCAACACGGGGGTCAGGTTGAAGGTAGTGTGCAGCATCTCCTTCATATCGTGCTCCTGGCCTGAAACACACAAGTTTGTTTGTTTGTTTGTTTGTTGTTAAACGCCACACTCAGCAATGTTCTAGCTATATGACAGCAGTCTGTAAACATAGTACCCCAGTAAATTATCAAATCTGAACCAGACAATCCTGTGATTGACATCATGAGCATCGATCCACGCAATTGGGATATGATGACATGCAATAAACCTGTCACCACCTGATCCGTTTAGTCGCCTCACAACAGTGAGTGAGAGAGTGAGTGAGTGAGAGAGTTGGGTTTAACACTGCTTTCAACAGTATTCCAGTTATATCACAGCGTGTCAGCTTAATGTGGGAGGAAAGCCCGAAGTGGTGCAGGTCTCAGACGTTTACAACTTCGGTGAAACCCACGAGCACAGGTATGGTGCTGACAAACCTAGAAACATAATCAGGGCATCCCACAACAGATAGTAGGGATGTCAGGACTGATCTAATAATCTATGCATCCATATTGGCCATGGCCTGACTTAATATATTAATGATAAGTCTAGTTGTGCCAAAAACTTTTTAATTTACCAGCCAAGACATCGCTGTCTGCATCATTTTCAGTAGGGGTGAAACTATACATTGGTGAGCCAGTGCATCGTGAGTTTTCATGCAATGATATGATACACAATATGTTTTTCTCTGTATCGATACAAGATGATACACTTGCTAACTACACTATTTACTAGTTGTTTAATGCCCCCAAACCCAGCATTTTTTGTCAGTCAACTGTTGCAATATGGGTTGTAATTAGCTTTTTAAGTTCACTACTAAAAATAACCACTACAAAAATGTGTTTACAGCTAGCTTTTCCTTTGGAACCTGCTCTGAAATAATTATAATCATGATAATCAAGAAGTTTCCACATGATTTGAGGTCAATATGCGTATTGTGACCTACACATCGTGTCACGTATCGTTTTGTGACCTTGTTGTTCACCCCTAATTTTCAGCAGATATTAGTGTTGATACTATTTGACCATTATGAGCTGAGCTACCAGCTGAAGAATAGAAATCTACTGGACTCCGGACTAGTGGCTAAAGATGCAGACTGCATAGTACATGCATGATGGGATCAAAGACAGCTATCTGTCAAATACAAGTTACATTAAATTAAGCTTTGAACAAAACTTTAACAGTCTGCAACTTCAGCCACTTGTCCGAAACCCTAGTCTAGTAAACATGGTAAATTTCTGTTTGGTCTTGTATGCTCAGATAGTACTAGTCCACTTCATAACACTATAATGTACTGAAAATGATGCCAAGAGCCAAGTTCAGGCAAAAAGACTCACAAGTTGATGCCACAGACTGCAACACATAGCATAACATGCTGTATCAGCATTACATGGGAGGAAGGTCTAAAGAGATGCAGTAAGTTATTCAGTTAGTTGGGAGATTCTTATACATAAAAGATGTGTAAAAGGATTTTCCTGTGTATTCAAGCTTACCTATTTGATTGAGCACTGTGAGACACTTGAGTACTAGCCCCGACTTGGACTGTGAGTCGTTGAGGATATCCACGATGCATGTCAGACACTCTGCAGCCAGAAGCTGGCGGGGGTTGAAGAACTTGAGGGGCAAAGTGCGACCTATCACTCCATGTAGAATCTAAAATACAACAGAACGGTCATTCTTAGTGTTGTTACAAGTATCATCATGATCAATGTGACAAAACCACTCTCAGTATTACAGTTTCTGAAATTTCTCTGGTGACTCTTGTGATGTTCCATAGTACCATACTAAATACTAACAATGCTAATCTAATTTTCTTTAAAGATTTTGATGACCAATTACGCAAAGATGCAGTACAATAAAGCAATGTAGTAAGAATTGGATGGTGGTCAATGTCAAAGGAAAGGGTCAATACAATGTTCATAATCAAACTTTTAGGATATTATTTTGAAAAACTTGATTTACTAAACCTAGGTAATTAAATTATTAAACATGTTAAATATTCCTTTATCATGTTCATAAATTATTAACAAATTTCACACAAAAATATTAACAAGAAGATGTTCGGAATAAGCAATATTCAAAATCAACATTGTCCCTAACTTTTCCAAAAGAAAGAGCTAGCTCATTCCTCAAACACTAGAAAAGAGACCTATTTATGATAATAACCTTCAAATCCACATTCATTTCAAATTTGCAAATGTCATAAATTAAACATCATTTTACATAAATCCTTTATTAAAAAGCCTATAGCATGTTTTAACCATTCAAATGCAAAAATAATGAAGTGCCATTCCATTGGATCATAGTCTCTAAATGTACACATGGTGACTTGTAACAATCATCCCTGTACCTCAAGTTGTCGCTGTAGATAGATAAGGTTGCTGTTGCTGCGACTGTTGTGGTACTGATTGGCTGCGATTGTCACCTGTTTCACACATGGGGCAGCCTCCATTATTGTAGTTAGTTGGAATTGTCAGCTATTTCTTCTCTGCAGACAAAATTTTTTTATTGTTTACTAATAAAGCCGCATGCGACAGCATCACTATTTGAAAAATAGGGGGATAAAGCCCAAAATGAGCAGAAAAAATGATCCACGCTTGCAATCGTATGGTTTAATACGATTAAACCTTGGAATTGAATATCAAAGTGATGCATAAACGGCGAAAATTGGACATCAACATTGAAAAAGTACTTAGAATCGAAGTTCCATCATGGCGTGCGACAGTCTCATCAGTGACATACGTCGGAGCCACATTTCAGCGAACACATATTTTGTGTCTACTTTGGTAATTAAACATTTCATTTACCTACAAAAGCATTTAATTCAAGCTGTAGATTGGGGGGGGGGGGGGGGGGGGGCAAGTCCCCCAAACCCCGTTATTTTAGCGAGGAGAAAAAAATGGCATCTAAAAAACATAGAAACCGCTCAAAAGAATGAGCTCGTGCACATCCCTTTCCAAAATGGTGTGCAGTATACTGTATTCTTGCCCATTTATCATATAACCAGGTTGTCATTGACCATTACCAAACGAAATCCAGATTGACTGGTCTGTTTTGACACTGGCCCGTTTTGACTGGTATCGAAATGAACAAGGACCCCTTGACAATAACTACAAATGCCCAAACTTCCCACAGCAATCCCACTATCATTTGGCTAAGACTCTATCAGTTTGTCTGTTTCTGATAGAGGCAAATATTGACCTCATCGGTGACAGCACCAGATGCAGATGAGGTGATCACTGACGAGGAAGGAAACAATAAATGGTTGTATTAAATTTTCCACCACGTTCCATGGTCCAAGTCGTGATCCTCACTGTATATATTGCACACTATTGTATTGATTATGTATGTACTGCGTGTATTCTCGTATCTTTTTATAATAAAACACCATTTCAATGCCACGAAAATAGGTGACACAAGGCGGTTGACAACTTTTGTCATACACGAAATAGACTGGATTCAAACCAATCTGCTATTCTACGACAAATAGGATCATGCACTGTAACTTACAGTTTGTGATGACGTTGTCGGCTTAGTTCAAGTGTCTTATGAAATGTCATACAAACCACATCAAAATGCATAGCAATGTGCTTTGTTTACAGCAACCATTTTGAAAGTTTCAAACCTCGCGCTTCAGCTTTTACTACGCATGCGCGAGAAAATTGGCGAAGAATTTGGGAAAATGCTATCTTCTGTCGCCAGAAAGGAGAATTTCATAGTCTTTTCGAGTAGTCATCACCCAAATTGTTGTTTTATTGGCGGCAATTCAATGTCCAGATACTCCCAGACTGCACCATCAAACATGACAGCGCCCTGATACACAACACGGGGGAAGTGCTTGCGAAAAGCCAGAGGAGAAAATGGTGATGAACTTTTGTGACAGGGCAGGAATCGTCAATTTCGTGAGTTAATACATGTGTTAGTTACAAAGATCTAACATTAACAGTCATACTAATGTATATCGACCAACCTGATCACATTGTGGCCACTGATCGTATCCTGAAACACAGAACTATGTAACTAATGTTATTAATAATAATAATAAACAAACTCGCCAAAAGTCTCGCAGCCTAAAGTCCTGTGGCTGAACACGTGGATCGTGCCTTGTGCTGTCCGATTCGACTGAGCATGGCAGCCTAAACGAAGAAATTTAAAGTTTTAATTTGAAGACATATCAGGACACTGACTAACTACATTAACAAAGCAAGCTCTTTCACTGATTTAATTCGTATCATTGATTTCAACATTGTACACTTTCATACCATGCATACCAGTGCACATACATAGCTTCACTCATTCATTCATACAGTTCCTCAATTTGAACCGTCACATATCTCCGGGCGGACATTCGGTAAAAAAATACAAAGTTGAAATAAAGGACAAAATTATGCAATAATAGTCTAATGTTTAAAAGAATGAATGTTACATATAAACAACTCGCAAACAAAAGACGTCATGTAAAGAAAGAACAATCTGTGCTAATGAACATCAAAGAACTAATGGACAACGCATTGACGATAAAGAAGGCAAGATGGCGCTGCAATTTGTAAAACATTGTTGCAAGTGTCGTGATATGTATCAGATCATGAGCAATGTATAGTCTAATGTTAAAAAGAATGAATGGTACATATATAAACAACTCGCAAACAAAAGACGTCATGTAAAGAAAGAATAATCTGTGCTAATGAACATCAGTGCACAAAAGGACTCCAAACTGCTAAAGGACAACATTGACGATAAAGAACGCAAGATGGCGCTGCAATTTGTAAAACATTGTTGCAAGTGTCGTGATATGTATCGGATCGTGAGCAATGTATCGTGATACATATACATGATATAGGGTCGCACAGTTGGTGTATTGTCCCAGCTCTACATTTTAGTGTCAATACACTTTTATTGTATGGGGTACACACGCTTTATACCGGACTCCAATCCACCATGCTTGTTTGATGCTACTACTAAAGCAGCACGCAACAGAATCACTATTTAAAAAAAAATAAAAAAATAAGGCGATAAAGCTCAAAATAAGCAGAAAAAAATTACCCTGTTTGCATTTGTATGATTTATGATTAAACCTTGACACATGCTTGAAATTGAATATCAAAGCGAAAATTGGACATCAACATCGAAAAAGTAATTGAAAGTATAAGTTTTTCATGGCGTGCGGCAACCTCGTCAGTGACATATACCGTATTCGACGTAATAAGCGCCCCACTCTAATAAGCTCCCACGGAAATATTTGCTAATATATTGGCTAGTGAACAATCCCAATTAGCACCCTTTCCAATTGATCAATGTATACAAGACTTATTTATTCACGTATAATACACACTCGTGTGTGATATGCACCCTCAGTTATTGGGAATTTAATTCTGGAAAAATATATTTGTCGTACATAATCATTTCAGGCTGTCAGCATAAACCACAAAAAAATTTGATAGCGCCCTGGGCGCTTATTACGTCGAATACGGTAGTCATAGTTATATAGTCTTTTGATAATCGGCATCCAGTTGAATTATTTTACCGCTTTCTTTGCAGATGCAGTTTTAATGTTGTGATATGTCGGCCAAGTCTAACCCTAAACCTGATGGTGGTGTCACTGCTGGCTCAAGGAAAGCTCTCATCAATAACACTAAAGGAATGCTTTATAAATCCTGGTCTTTCTTGGCAGAATATTTGCCTCTAGCAAACTCACAAGCATCTGATTTCATAGTTAAAAACTTGTGGAGTTTCTATGTGCCGGAAAACATCCAGAAAGAACTTTTGGAGATGTCAGATGATGAATTGTCTTCTTTACCATCTGTCGTGACTGGAAAAGTGATGTCAGAAGGTGATGGGGTGACAGACCGTAACAGCGAATTATTCAATGCTGAGCACTCCAAAGTGAATACAAAAGCAGAAGAAAAGTGGGAGTCTTTTAACCCTGGGCAACATCATCTTAAATGCATTAAGTGTCAGTTCCTCGAGAAATCTCCAATGTCTGCAGAAGGAAGAAAAAATGTTCATCTTCAAACATTATGTCCTATTGCTTGGAATCATTCAAATCTGCATGCCTTCACACAAGCTGCCAAAGACTATACCCTGACCTCGATGAATGTGCTGACTTCAGTGGGTGATGTGAGTGTGCTGCAATGTGGTGTAGATGATGATGATGATGATGATGATAGACTTGAACGTGTGCTGATGTCACAGAAGAAGAGTCATGAGGTGGAAGTCATGGCCGAAGTTTGCGCACATATGGCCGATGTTTTCAAAACCAATCTGGTAAGTAAAACATGTCAATGCAGTTTTGTAATTATTGTATTGTGAGTGAGTTGGGTGTGTCAAAGCGTGTCAGCTTAATGTGGGAGGAAAGTGATACAGGTCTCAGACGTTTCCCACATTCGTGAAACCCACAAGCATGTGTGTGATGCTTACATACCTAAAAACATAATCGGGGCGAACGTTGATTCGAACCCACAAGCATAGGCTTCTAGCATGCTCAAGGGACACAACTCTGCACAGTGTATTGCTGCCAAATACATGGCATACACAATGTACTTTATGTTTACTATTATCACTAAATCAGCTGACAATGGCAAGTCAGCATGATCAGTTCTCGAAACTTTTAGAACACTAAGTTGAGTGGTCAACATGAAAAAAAAGCATTTTCAGTCTGAGTGTATGTCATGTTTTATGCAATATTTGTTTCTTACGACACAAATTGTTCTTAGCGCTATGCAATCTCATTAAAATCATATCTTAGTTCTCGCTACCGCTAAACAAAGATCTGAGGACATCCCATTACGGGTCAGATGAAACCGACCTTTCACAAACTTTGACTGTCCAATGGAATGATTAACAAGAAGTTGACAATAGCCAATCAGAAGGCAGCTTATTCAAGCTTTATGGCACAAGTTTCAAACTGGCAACTACGCGTCGAAACATATTTTGACATATACTTGATTAAAAAATTCAGAACTGAACGGAAGAACATTCTGGAATGGCTAATTGATGGTCGAGATTGTATGAATACAGACATAAAGCCCATAACTGTTGTTTGGAATTCCCTGTGTGTGTTTTTTTCGAGGTTGCACGATCAAAAATCACATTCCAACTGTCACTTTCATGATCTGATAAGTGATGCTCTGATTGGTCAGATGAAAATTTGACCTGCAATGGCATGTCCTCAGATCTTTGTAGCCAGAACTAAGATCTGATTTTAATGAGATTGAGCACTATGATCACTTTGATGATCGTAATTTCCATACATTAACATAGGTTTATGATAGTCATAGCAGTAAGATAGCTTTGTGTAACAGAATTTCCATATTGTGGGTGTGCTGGGATAGCCTAGTTGTTGAAGCATTCCCTCATCAGGCCAAAGCGAGTGAGTTCCAATATGATGTTACATCAGCAGTATCTTGGCTATGTTGTGACTCGCACTGTACACCCTGGCCTAGTTCAAATACGAACATGCTCACTCATGGTCCCGGGTTTCAGAAGCATGACAAGGGTCAATAATGTTTCAGACAGTGGACCTAGGCAGTGGGAAGGGCTACCTCAGCACTCAGTTGTGTTACGAATTTAATCATCACGTCATTGGGATCGACTCCTCCAGCACAAACACAGATGGCGCCACCAAGAGGGCAGGCAGACTGGACAAGGAATGGGATGCCAGAAAAAAACAGCCTGTGAAATCAAAGAAAAATTCACAAAGACACAAAGACCATCCATTAGCTTGTTTGTCAGATAAAAGTACAAGGAAGGATTTTAAGACAAAGTCCAGTTCTTTTGAGAGTAAATGTTCAAGCTGTGATATTAATGAACTCTCGGACAGTTTCATTGCTTTTAATGTCCATGATGTAGATGAGGCAATGGAGGACTCTCTTCATGCAGAAAATGCAGACATTAAGCCTTCAGACCAAACTACTCATGACCATTGTTCAACAAGCAAAAATGTTTGTCCGAACAAGGTTTTTGAGAATACAGTAAAAATCAACAAAAATAAATCCATCAACAATGAACCATCTGCAGCTGACGATACAAGTAATAATTCAGTGGAACATTCGGAGAGTTTGTGTAACTCGGATTCAACTGAGAAGCACAAATACTCAAGGTCTTCATTAAACAATAGTTCTACCCTTGGGATCCACACTACCACCAAGGACAGGCCTAAAGAGGAAAGGTTTGTCCCACTGACGAAGTTTGTAGATTGTAACATGAAGCTGATGGAATCGGTAAAGGATTCGGTAGTTGAGTTGGGATTGGACCCGGACAAGGCCAGACTGCTTCTGACGGGTCTTCACACGTGTGGGGGTCTTGGCTCAAGTCTTGTGCGTCTGTTCGTCAACAGTCCGTCTGTCACAGTCATGTGTAATGTCGCTTGCTGCTATCATCTCTTGGAGGAGGAGTTTGTTGCTGGTCCATTTGGCGATGCTGCAAGTATGTTAGAGGTATGAGTTTGAAGGTGGACCTTTTTCATATGAGACTGGGCTGACAAAACAGCTCTGTGTGACTTTCCCTTTGGAGCAATAATTACAGGTGGGGTTTCACTGATGAATCAGTGCATCATGAATTTTCACCTGTCGATACCAAACTAACCATTCATAGTATACATGTATTGATCCATAGTTTAAATTTGTATAAATTTTCAAAAGGTGAAAGATTTCAAAGTTTTACAAAAACTCTGCCTGATAGCTGCTCGGGCTAGATTTGCCTTACTGCCTAATATGAGACAATCTGCAAACCAGACTAAATTAATCATGTGCAAGTATTTCACAGACTGGTTGATAGAAGTTACATCAGCTTTTTGGCAGAGAAAAACCTGATTGCATGCTGACAGGGTCAGTCACTTTAAGTCCCCTCCAAACTTCTAAAAACTGAAACACAAGTAGTCTCTTGAGAAGAGTCCACCTGATGCCTTGCTCCATTCCGATCCATGGTGGAGGTGGCCCCTGGTGTGCCACTGTTGTTATGAGAGCCTACTCGTGTCATCTTATTTCAGTGGCATGGATCATTGTTCATGTTTGTTTGTTTGTTGTTTCACGCTGCACTTAGCAATATTCCAGCTATATGGCAGCGGTCTGTTAATAATCAAGTCTGGACCAATCCAGTGATTGACGTTATGCACATCGGTCCACACACTTGGGATCAATGACATGCATCAACCAAGTCAGCTAGCCAGACCGCCCGATGTCGTTAGTCACCTCTTACAGCAAGCATCATTCATCATATAAACTGTACCACAGTTGTATTTGGTCAAGACTCAGTTACTTTCAGACATGCCCTTATCTTGCTTATTTGAGTATAATATTGTTCAGTGTGATATTGTCTGCGAATTCATTTTGAATTTCATGCACCTTCTGCCAGGGGAGTCCATCCTACTGCAATTTATTTTCCCAATTCCCATATGACTGTTGATATTTCTATTGCTTACCCAAGTTGCCTAGGATGTGTGAAGCCAATTTCAGGTGTCCCCCACCATGATATTGCTGCAGTTTTGCTAAAAGTTGCACAAAACTATTCTTACTCACTCTCTGTAAGTCTTGAAGCTTGTCCAATCTCATTAAAATCAGATCTTAGTTCTCGCCACCGCTAAACAAAGATCTGAGGACATCCCATTACGGGTCACGTCAGACCAACCTTGCGCGAACTTTGACCGACCAATGGAATGACCAATCAGAAGGCAGCTTTCTCCAGCTTTATGGCACTAATTTGAAATGGGCGACTACGCTTCAAAACATATTTTGACAAATTCTCCATTACAAATGTGAAACCTGAACAAAAGAACATTCTGGAATGGCTAAAAGATAGGTAGTCTAGATTGTATGGATTTCGGTCATTAAACCCGTAACTATCGTTCGGAATACCCTGTGTTAAAGTTTTTGTGGTTGCATGATTAGAAATCACATTCCGACTGTCACTTTCATGATCTGGTAAGTGACGCTCTGATTGGTCGGATGAAAGGTTTTTCTGACGTGACCCCAAATGGGATGTCTTCAGATCTTTGTTTAGCGGTAGCGAGAACTAAGGTCTGATTTTAATGAGATTGGTAGCTTGTCCGGTTTAGAAGTGATTCCCAGCACGCTATGCTGGTCGTATGAGGTGAACAAATGGATTGGATGGTCAGGCCCAGTGACTTGGTTGATTGTGTGTCATCGTACCCGGATAAAGTTGATCGTCACACTGAATTATCTGTCCAGTGTCAATTATTTGGAGGCTGCCATCATATGGCTGGAATATTGCCGAGTCTTGTAAGCTGATAGGGAACTACAAATATGATTTGTGGTACTGAGTAACATGATATTGTGGTCCAATAAACATAGCTATTAGCATCATTAGGATCATGCTCAATGTGTATGTACAGCCTGCAGTGTTCATGTGCATTATATCCGGCAGGTGCCCCCTGTGTCAGCTCTGACTTCCCTATGAGCAGCTACCTACAGGAGGGGTCAATGTGTATGTACAGCCTGCAGTGTTCATGTGCATTATATCCTGCAGGTGCCCCCTGTGTCAGCTCTGACTTCCCCATGAGCAGCTACCTACAGGAGGGGTCAATGTGTATGTACAGCCTGCAGTGTTCATGTGCATTATATCCTGCAGGTGCCCCCTGTGTCAGCTCTGACTTCCCCATGAGCAGCTACCTACAGGAGGGGTCAATGTGTATGTACAGCCTGCAGTGTTCATGTGCATTATATCCTGCAGGTGCCCCCTGTGTCAGCTCTGACTACCCCATGAGCAGCTACCTACAGGAGGGGTCAATGTGTATGTACAGCCTGCAGTGTTCATGTGCATTATATCCTGCAGGTGCCCCCTGTGTCAGCTCTGACTTCCCCATGAGCAGCTACCTACAGGAGGGGTCAATGTGTATGTACAGCCTGCAGTGTTCATGTGCATTATATCCTGCAGGTGCCCCCTGTGTCAGCTCCGACTTCCCCATGAGCAGCTACCTACAGGAGGGGTCAATGTGTATGTACAGCCTGTAGTATTCATGTGCATTATATCCTGCAGGTGCCCCCTGTGTCAGCTCCGACTTCCCCATGAGCAGCTACCTACAGGAGGGACAGATAGGCTTGGGGAAGGCTGCCCGGAACATAGCATGTCTGTCTGTACACAGAATGGCTGCAGAGAAACAGGTGACTGGCACTGAAATTGGCACTCGTCCTGTAGTCCTGGCCAATGCCCAATAGTTAGGTATCATGAGGACTAGTAGAAACTGCCAAATCTAAGGCTTTTGCTATATGTTCTCATTATAAGGACTGGTGGACTAAAACTTGACTCCCAGTCCACCATTTGTAATTCAGTGTCATTTCCAGAGCTCTAGATATGTTTTTGGTTATTTGGGTATTTTACTCAGGGATTTGATTTTGATTGGGTATCCACAATTTTCAGAGGGTATTCAATAAAAAACATTACCCCAAGTTTCTTGACATTTGGTATTTTAACTTGAAACCTGTGTCATAACAATCCCTGCAAATCATTTAAAACTATGTAAATAATCATGATAATAGTATACCCGTCTGGTTGCAGTTCCCTCACTGGGACGCCATTTTTGTTTGCGCTTTTTTAATCACCACTCAGCGACTGTTCAGGATACAAAATGTACATAGACTTTTCAATTGGCATCCGTCAGTATGTTTGTTGCAGAACCTTTTCTGAATGTAACTGTCTGTAAGTGAATTTGGCGATCAGCTGATACATAATCATTTTATCAAACAGTTGTAATATATGAATTAGTTTTATTTCAATAGGGTATTTATAGTTTTTGTTGCATAAGCTAGGATTTGATTTTAGTTATTTAATGTGTATTTTATGCAAATACGCAGCTTATCTCGAGCCCTGATTACTCTCCACCTTGAGTGTAGGCACCATGTTATTGAGCCATATCTGCTAATCTGACAGAAGCTTTTTCATCAACCATACTGTCAACAGAGCGATAAAAGTAGTTTTTCAACCCGAATTTTAACTAATTTACAGCACAAGTGGTCCCACTTGGTGACTTGGTTGATTGATCGATCACTGATGTCAGGATTGTTGCTTATAATAGCAATTACTGGATTTTATCATCCAAAACTGGCTCCCACAGTAGATATGGCTTGGGTGAGATCAAGCAATATCTACATTGTAGTTATCGCTGCAATGAAATTGCATCACAATGCTTTGCTGACCATTGTGACATCATTGTTACCATGACATCACTAATGACTCTGCTACTGAAGCTGTTAGCAGTACTTTTTACACTGCTTGTTACTGTCTACAAACTGAAAAAGATGTTGGATGATAAATAAAATCTCACCCTTGTGTCTTTTGATATAAAATATATCAACACTCGTTGACAAAAGTAGAAAAACTCCTCAACAAGCCTTGGAATTTTTCCACTTTTGTCAACTCATGTTGATTTATTTGATATCGAAAGACACTCGGGTGAGATTCTCCATGTGTGATGCAGACTAAACTGTTTACAGACTGCCATCGTATAGCTGAAATGTTGTAGAATGAACTGTCAGGACCTAATGCATATGAGTGGACTGCTATTGCATTTGGTTACCATGGTTACAGTGTCATTGTGACCTGACGCATTGACAGTTGCTCATATTATCAACCACAAGTTGACCTGCACAGGAAATATTCCATATGCAAACTGGTTAATGGGTTTAGCATGTGTAGCAGTAATATTGTCAAATGACTCTCTTTAGAAAATTGCATTTGTGTCAGTTAATGTGTCTGTTGATTATGCTTGTTTGTTTGTTTGTTTGTTGTTTAATGTCGCACTCTGCAATATTCCAGCTATATGATGTCGGTCTGTAAATAATCGAGTCTGGACCAGACGATCCAGTGATTTATATCATGAGTATCTGGATCTGATTAGCTGTTTCTGCTCTGTCCACGATGTTAGCAACTTTGATCAGTATTGATATTGAGTCTAATCATGCTAGTAATCAATACTGTGTAACAAAGCATTTGTATCCAGCTTCAGGGCCAGTCTTTCTATGCAAGGGCCCTGTTAGAAAAGATCATCCATGACTTGGTCGGAGACGTGGGACATGGAGGTCGGAAACTCCGGAAACTAGACAAGCGAAGCAAGTCTCTGTATGACTATGTGGTGAAGGCATTCACAAGACTGGGGCTACCTACAGACAAGGTACATTTTAGGAGGAACATACATATCTCTGATCATGCAGATATCAATATTTCTTGGTTCAGTTGGGATTTTATCGAACAAAATGAATTGTCCCAGAAAATGCAAGAAGTAATTAATTATACTTCAGTCTGTTCAAAAATAACTAAATTGTCTGTGTTTAACATTTTTTTAACTTTGGCTCATAGTTTTAATAAAAAATATCTGGTTTGGCAGATGTAGCTGGAAAAATATCTGGTCAGTGTTGTAAAGTCCCAGGGCCCTCCTTAACATCCTCATTGGGCAAGCAGAAAGACCCAAGGCGGGTCACAAAAAGGCCTTGTGTCGCTCTTATGTAGATACAGCCAGCCTTCTAGAAACTGTCGCATCACGAAACTTCTCCAATGATGACTATTGTTTGATGACAACCAAGGGCGGTAACTCTAGATCACACGTCTTGTGCAGATTGACCACTACAGGACTCAATATTTCACGAGAGTCTCAGTCATTTGCTGCCACTGACAATCACAAGATATAACCCAACAACAATCTCTATTGCCCAATGACGCATTTCACTTGAATTTGATTGGTGCAAGATACGCCCCATAGATTGTATGGACCACAGCTATATGTCATGTTATTTGTCAGGTGACCCCGGAACTTGTTGAAGGCTATGACAGCAGGTACAGCCACGTTCGGCACCAGTTGGCAGCCTTTGTCCAGCTCCGCGCCGTCCTAGCTCCGTGTATCGAGTCCCTCATCCTCCTCGACAGATATCTGTATCTCCTGGAACAGGTGAGCTGGGCACATTTCACATTAGGCTAAAAAAAAATAATAGTCTTAATTCTCAGGCACCGCCGGCATCATCATAAAGTCAGCTGCAAGTTTTGTTGTTTTTTTTATTTTAATTTTTATATTTTAAATCCTGGTACTGAAAACAAAAATATGATCCAATATAGCATGCAGTTACTTCCCTTTACATGCGCACTGCTTTACTGTGCATGTTATGGTAATGGCGGCAATGGGAGTGTGTATGCATGTTTATGTAGGGAGGCCCTTTCCCAGGCTGATGGTACACAACTGTTTGTTCGGTTACATACTAGTTTGAACATGCAAAAAAGGAAAAAACACCACCGCCCGCGCTATATTTTCAAAGTCATTGTCTGAGAACCAAGTATTTTTGATTAGCTTTTGGTAATGAGGTTAGACTCTCCTTTTCCCAGTTTGCAGTCCTGCAACTTTGAATCAAGACATTCATATGTCACTTCACTTATATGTTAATCATGTTAATCTAGCAAGTAATTTAACTTTATTTCATAGACAGTGTCACCGCATACAGTTTCTAGGTTTTGATGTGGGCACTAATGGTGTTAATCTCTCTTCAAATTTTATATTAGGGGCACGGGTGGACCAGTTGAGGCACCGCAATTCAATGTGCAGATTTGTGTCCCTTGGGCACGCCAGAAACCTATGATCCTGGGCTCGAATCCCGGTTCTCCCTGATTATGTTTCTAGGTTTGTCACCACCATACACGTGTTTGTGGTTTACCCAAAGTGGTATACATCTGAGACCTGCATCACTTTGGGCTTTCCTCCTACATTAGGCTGACACACCACAATATATATGGAATACTGTTCAAAGCAGCGTCAAACCCAACTCGCTCACTCAAGCTCTTATGAAAATCTTCCGCAGATCGGCGAATTTCCTCAAATTATAGTGACCACAAACTTGCTAAATTATGATGGCTTCCCCCATAAACACCCCCAAATTATGGATCACGCTCCATTGCAAAGGAAAATATCCATTCTCACCCTGAATATACTGAGTGGAGTTTGGAACACTATGTTTTAATGTATTGATTCCATGCTATCCTCGACAAGGATCTTGACTATCAGTCACAAAGAATCAACTTCTTTTTCAGGACAATATCCAAGATGTGTACCTCACACAGCTATTTGATCCAGTTGTGTCACCGAGATGCTTTGCCATCATCGCCACCATCGCCACCAAGAAGACCAGCTGAAAGTGCCTGGACCTATTTTCATCACCACCACCAAGTAGACATGTTAGCTCTGTGTCGTTATCTTTGTCCATGAAAACATGATGTACTTTTTAGTGGTGGGACGATACACCGATGCGTCGGTGGACCGCGATATTTTACTTCACGATACAAGTATCGATCACAGTTGCACAACAAGTAAAAATATCGATTCATACCTTAAATGTTTACTTTAATGTTTTTTACACCAAACACTAATTAGTAGTGAAAAAGTCCATTGCGCCATCAGTGTGCAAGGTATTTGACTATCCTGTCTATGAAAAATATTGGTTATGCACTACAGATATGAGCACATACAAGTATCGTGATATGTATTGGATCGTGAGCAAGGTATTGTGATATGTATCTGATCGCACAGTTGGTGTATCGTCCCAGCCCAAGTACGTTTCTACTGCTATGGTGCTGCTGCCTATTAGGCCATTCTTCCTTTTTGTTTGGTTTACGGATTTGCCAACCTTGAAAATCAAATAAGGCAGAATTGTTTCCAATATTTTTTATCATCGTCCCATCCAAATCATACTTAGGATGATCAAAAACCTCTGTACAATGTATTTTTGTCTTCCTTTTTATTTTGACTTGACTACCAAGTTTTTCACTATCAAACTTTGTAAACCAAATTAGAATGAAGTCTGGCTTTACTTTTAGATTCAGAAAAGGAATAAGAGCTCCATTGATTGGACAGCCAACATGGCCAAGTCACTTGCTCTATATTGTATAAACAATGTTATCATACCTCCATGTCAGAGATCTGATTGGTCCGCGTGATCTTGATAAAATACAATGTATCCCGCCTTGGAGGGGAGTAATTATACCCCTCTTCGATGCAAAAATCACATGCTTTTTCCGAGTCCATAGAAGACATGTGACACAGCTCAAGTTAATCTCAGCTTAAACACACAGCTGTTTTCTATCAAATTTGAATTCTTTTACAATGTCATATTAAAACATGTCAGTAAGATAAATTTGTTGCAGCAGGATCACACAGGGTACATGGGGTTTTATGCGTCCCTCCTTATGTTTTATGTCATTCACCTCCGGCTTGTGGTATAAAACCAACCTCGGGATGCATAAAACCCATGCACCCTCGTGATCCTGCTGCAACCTATGGCATTCAGGGGCACTATGCTCTGCAGTCTAGTTCCATTTTCAGTCAAGGTGTCATTGTATTTATGTCCTATGCAACACTTACTCTGACATTGTCCCAGTGTTATTTGGGTATTCATTAACTGGTAGCTTGGCACGTGTTTGATCAGAATCTTGCAGTGATTAGACGATGTCTTGCATCAATGTCTTCTAGTCATTCACATTCAATTACACACTTGCCCGTACAAATAACACTTACGTCCCTTTCCAGCAACCTACCTTTACTTACGCAATCACAGACAATTTCTGACCGATCAAGTTGTGCTGGCAACATCAAACTCAATCACTGGCTGTGTTCCACCATCTTGAATGAAGTTTGTCTCTCGTAAGATCCCGTTACATATTTACAAGACCGCCTCTGTGGTCTAGTGGTAGAGCGTCCACCCAGAGAGCGGAAGGTCCGGGGTTCCATCCCCAGTCGCGTCATAACAAAAGACGTTAAAAAATGGTACTTGTTGTTACCCTGTCTGGCGCTCGGCATTAAGGGGCTAAAACAAGGACTGGTCGGCTCCGAGTCAGTATACTGACTCTGAGTGGGGTATTCATGTTAAACTGCAGCATGGTATCTCAGTGTGCTAGCACTATAAATCGGCATCAGTCCGGACTAGTACAAGCAGCAACACACATACACATACACGTGCATGCACGTCGCTACATACACGTGCATGCAAGTGCAATAATCACGGACGCGACGTTAAACCCCATTTCACCTCACCTCACCACATATTTACAAACTAACTTAGTTTAACATTATTCCCCCCTTTGAACCATATTTGTGACTTACATACCCGACATACTGACAGTTCATGGTATTGTTAGTTTTTCATTGGACATCGGTGGATGTCTTCTTCCTCCTCCTCTATAATGGTTCTCTCCCTCTTTTCTCCCTCAAATGGTGACTTTGCCAGAGATGAGACAATGAAGGTTCTCTCTTTACTGGCATGGTATAATTACAAAACATTATAACTTCCTCGATTCTGGTCAGTATGGAAAAGATGTAAAAGGATGTTTTTCTAAGAAACAAAACTATCTGAAACATTTAATATGCTTTGTATTCCCTCTTTGTGTTTACCATGAAACCTGATAGAACAAAATGATATAAACAGATTTGTGAAGAAACTGGTCCTCCATTCTAGAAATGTGTTTGGTGTTATGTCAAGTTTATTATAAGTCTATAAACTAGCTACAGATAACAGTGTAGCTGATAAACAATACCCTGACGGGTATAGCCGACTGAAGGTGTACACCTGACCAAAGCAACTGTGAATTATAGACAGATTATTTTAGGGTAATACATGCCCAAAACGAAGTTATGAAAAAATTGAGAATTCCCAAAACTGAATACCCGTGTGGAAACCCGATTCAAGGCCTGATATCAGTTGGTTTATGAACTGTTGATCTGGATGTCATCTGAGCAGTCATTGTAAGGTAGACACGTTTATCGGTGAAGCAGTCAGATATAGTTGATGTCGTCTGAGCAGTCGTTGTAAGGTGGACACGTTTATCGGTGAAGCAGTCAGATTTAGTCTCTGTTTCTTGTTTTTCCTGGCCGAGGACTGGGACGGCTTGTCCGAAACCTCCTCGCACTTGTTATCTGGGTGTGGCTGCCTGCAGTGGGTGCATACATGCAGATACCTGCACGAGGATATATGCACTTGCCCTCATTAAAGTTGTTGCACAGTGCGCGTCCATTGTGGAATCGGATGGTTCTACTAGTGAACCTGGGGGCTTGTCCTTGCTGCTGTTGCTTGCCGACTGGTGCGTGATTGATTGATTAGGAACCTTCTGTGACTATGACAGTCTGCGGCTGCTGACCAGTGGACAAAAGTCTGTGCTGTGGTCGGACAGGAAACATAGTTCGCAGGTATTGACACGGTGACCAGTTACAACTGTAAAGTACAGGTGTTCGTCATGTTGATCCCACGGTGGTAGTTGATTGGTGAGTGCCAGGGCCGCTGCTGCTTTGGACGAGAACGTCTTATGGTATTGGTAGAAGAGCGTACCTCCAAACCTGGCATGCATCTCCACGATCAATCGTTGATAACGGTCCAATGCGTCTTTACGGCCTGTATCATGATGTTCCGGTACCAGGTAAATGCCACAATAAACTCTTGAATGGTCAAGATGTTTTGTAGTCGGTGATCATTAGGGCATCTGAGGTGGAGTTCATGGTTGCCCATCTCGATCACTCTCGAATGTGAAAAAATGTCGTCTGGCATCAATAGACATGCCAGCTTTACGTCTTTCCCTTCAATTATTTGTGTGACGGATCTGGGTGGTTCGCTTATTTATACATGATGTCACAGTAAGCCTTTTCCAAATAACCACAGAACAAGATATCTTTGTTCAACAATACAGCTGTAATTTATTTACATGAATTAACCACTCAAACTATATTAATAAAGATTTATATATATATACTATTCTACTTAATACATACACAATGTATTATCTCAAACAGCGCCAAATATGAATTGGTGGCAGCGCGTTAATACATACTTACAATCTCATGCGATCGACTCCGTTCAGTCCTCCTCTCAATCTCACTCATCTAACCGTAAAAAAACAGCAAATGACGTCACAACCAGCTGATCGGCTCTAACGGTAAACAAAACGTGACGTCACAGCTGGTCACTGAACGAATATTAACTTAGATATTATTTTATAACACAAAGCATACGACTAATATAATAAATTAAGAAACTGACTGAAGTAAAGGAAATTAAAATACGGCACTTTATGCAATAATTGTAATGTAACCGAGGGAACACAAATATCGATGACGTCATGATCCCAAAATGGCGTGGCCCTGTAACCTGGCATGTCGCTCTGTGCAGTCCGTCATCGAAATACAAACTTAAGGTAATTTACGGCAAATAAACATAATCCCTACGTCAATTAAATTGTTACTCACGTAAACACAAATGTTATACACAAATTAACTTGGAATAGTGCCTATAACTGAAGATAAACAATGAACGAAAACAGGACAATGTTATGCGCGATATATGAGAACTCTTGCACATAACAATATCCCTTCTTTTTTAAATCTTAACTCGTCCGCGAGTTTATACTAATATACTATCAGGACATATCATTTAAGGAGAATTATCTGAAACAAGTACAAAATATCTGTCATAAACACTGAACATGCTGGAGATTGAAATTATCAGTTACCCCCGATGATGACTCTAGCACACATGAATAATCTGATGTTATCAGAATAAGATATATTGTAATGGCGATAATGAGACACATATAAGAAAACAGTTGATTTTTTACTTACACTTATTATACAATGAATACTAAAGAATCACATAAATCACAATATCACATGCAATCAATTTTACAATCACCACTTAGAACATTTCAATTTCCTGATTTCATTGTCTGCTGCCCGCCTCTGCTCTCTCTCTCTCCTCTCAATCTCTTCGCCTCTGCCGCCTGCAACACCCTCATACTCTCCCAACCGTCTCTCACAAACTCGTCTATCTTCCTGTCTGGTATGTCCTCGAACGTGGGCCATCTAATGCTGACTTCCATAGTAGCCGCCCTTGCCTCTGCTAGAGCACTCTCCAGGGCCACATTGCGCTCTTCAAGAGCAGCAGTGCGACCTCGGAGGCTCGCTTCCAGAGATGCTGAACTTGGAGTCCCTGGAACAGGCGCTTTGGTGACAGTGCTGATAGGTCTGTTGGTTTTCTGTTCCGGTTTGGCCACTTGCTTGGTCCCACCTCTACCTCCTCGTGGCCTCCACTTTTGCCAGGACAGGGCAAAGGTCCCAGGGTCAATAAAGTTCTCATTTGTCTCCATTGTTATCTCGGCCCCCGAACAAAACTTTTCAACTTCGGCATTTATTATTCTTG